GTGTGCAAATACCACATTTTCTTTATCCATCTGTTGATGGACATATAGGCTACTGCCAAGATGTAGTTATGAATTATGCTGTTATAAAAATAAGTATGCATGGAGCACCATAATATGATGTCCTTAACTTGGGAAGATAGAGAAGGGGAATAGCTGCGTCACATGGAATTTCTAGTTTTAGTTTTTTGTGGAATCTCCATATTGATTTTGATAGTGGTTGTACCAGTTTACACGCCCACCACCAATAAAGAAGGGTGCATTTTCTCCCACAGCCTCACTAGCATTTATAATGATGACCATCTTTCTGGAATAAGATGGAATCTCAATGCTTTTGTTGTTGTTGTTGTTTTTGGTACCAGGGATCGAACTCAGGACCTTGTGCTTGCAAGGTCAATGTTGTTTTTATTACAAATACATGGGGTTTTTTTTTTTGGTACCAGGGATCGAACTCGGGTCCTTGCACTTGTGCAGCAGGCGGCAAAACCACTGACCTAAATCCCCGGCCCCAGTGTTGTTTTTATTTGCATTTCTCTAATGGCCAGCGACGTTGAGCATTTTTTCATTCATTGGCCATTTTTACTTCGGTGAAGTATCTGTCACTTTCTCATATTTTGAGTCTTATTCTTTGGGGGGTCTAATTTTTGAGTTCTTTATATATTCTAGATATGTCTTTTGAGGAATAGCTGGCAATTTTTTTTTCCCATTTTGTTGTCTCTTCCCTCTGTTCTTTTGCTATGCAGAAGCTTTTTAATTTGATCCTGTTGCTTCTTAGTAGTATTTCCTATGCAACCAGAATTCTGTTCTGAAAGTCCTTGCCTGTGCCTATGAAGTCAAAAGTTTTATCTAATTTTTCTAGCAGGATAAGTGTTTCTATTTCAACAGTTAGTTCTTGGCTCCACTTTTTTATTTTAGTACACGGTGAGAGATAAGGGTATAGATTCAACCTTCTGCATGTGAATAGCCAGTTTTTCCAACATCATTTATAGTATTAAGAGAGGCTATCTTTCCTCCAGTGTATGTTTTTGGCTGCTTTGTGAAAGATCAAATAATTGAATGTTCTGCGAGTTCTTTCTGCATCCTCTATTCTGTTCCATTAATCTTCATGTCCCTTTTTGTGCCAGTACCATGTTGTTTTTAATCACTGTAGCTTTGTAATATAACTTGAAGTCTGCGATTGTGATGCCTCTTGCTTTCCTACAGATACCCACCATTACTTTGCTCTTCTGGGTCTCCACTGGTTTCACCTGAATTTTAGGATCTTCTCCAGTTCTATGAAGAATGCTGTTGGTATTTTGATTGGCAGTGTGTTAAATCTGTGTATGACTTTTGGAAGTAGAGCCATGTGGACTACATCAGTTCTGCCTATTCAGGAACAGAATATCTTTCCATTTTCTGGTGTCTTGATTTTTTTTTTTTTTTGGTACTGGGGATCAAACTCAGGTCCTTGCACTTGCGCAGCAGGCGGTGAAGCCACTGAGCTAAATCCCTGCCCCTTTTTTTTTATTTTTTGAGAAAGGGTCTCACTATGTAGCCCAGGCTGGCCTCAAATTTTTGGTAATCCTCCTGCCTCAGCCTACCAAGTGCTGGGATTATAGGTATACACACCCATACCTGCCTCTTTTCATTTTTTGAGAATATTGTAGTTTTTGATATAGAGTTCTTTCACTTCCTTAGTTAGGTTAATTCCTAAGTATTTAATTTTCTTTGTGCTATTATAAATTGTATTTTTTTCCAATTTCTTTCTCAATAAGTTCATTATTAGTGTACAGGAACACTATTGATTTTTGTGTGTTGATTTTGTATGCTGTTATATTACTGAATGTAATTATTCTAGGAATCTTTTGGTGTAATTTTTAGGTCTTTTATGTACAGGATCATGTCATCTGCAAATAATGATAATTTGACTTCTTCCTTTCTTATACATATCCCTTTTATATTTCTTGCCTAATTGCTCTTGCCAACTTTTTGAGGACTATGTGGAACAGGAGTGGTGATAGTGGATATACTTGTCTTATTCCTAATTTTAGAGGGAAAGCTTCGTTTTTCCCCATTTAATATGCTTATGTGAGTTTTTTTTTTTTTTTTTTTGGTACTGGGGATCGAACTCAGGACCTTGCGCTTGAGAGGCAGGCGCCAGAACCACTGAGCTAAATCCCTGGCCTTTCCCCATTTAATATGATGTTGGCTGTTGGTTTGTCATAGTTTTTATCAGATTGAGATAAGGTCCTACTTTCTTCAGGGATTTTATGAAGGATGTTGGATTTTGTCAAAGGCTTTTTCTGTGTCTATTCAGATGATCGTGTGATTTTTGTCCTTGCTTCTGCTTATGTGATGTACTACATTTATTGATTTGCATATGTTGAACTGTCCTTGAATCCCTGGGATGAAGCATAACTGGTCATGATATATGATCTTTTTAAAGATTTGTTGTTACGTTTGCCAGTAACTTGTTGAGGATTATTGCATATATATTCATTAAAGAGATTGGCTTATGGTTCTTTTCTGGTTTTGGAATCAGAGTAATGTTAGCTTCCAGGAATGATTTTGGGGAGTACTTCTTCCATTTTATGCCTTTATAAGGGATTCATTGCTTTTCTGCCACCCCTCCCCTTTTAAGACAGAATCTCACTAAGTTGCTCAGACTGGCTTCCAACTTATGATCCTTCTGCTTTGGCCTCTGAGCAGCTGAAACTACAGGTGTGTGCCACGATACGTGCCTCTTTCAAATTCTTTATCAGTAGATTTCTTCATTCACTTTGGAATCTGTTACTGAGGTGTTAAACTTCAGGGGTGTCATATTACCTTGCTTCTTCATATCTATTTCATATTTCTCCCTATGTTGACGTCCGTGCATCTGGCAGAGTGGATATCTCTACCACTTTTATGGGACAGCCTACTTAGTAGGTGGCTTTCTTCTAAAGATGTATCTTGAGGTTCTGGTTTGTTGTGCAATGTTGAGTTCACTTCCGGCTAGGTACTGTAGTGCATCTCCTTATAGCTTCTTTGGCTGTGAATAGTGAGTTTGAGCACAGCATGTACTGTAACAAAGTTGGACAGACCTTTTGTCTCTGCAGGTTACCCAAGGTGGGGACACTGCAGTAGTTCAGGTAGGCATGACGTAGACAGCAGAGTATGTGGGGTGCCCCCTGTGTGACTACTCCTACAACGAGAGTGTGCCCTCTATGAGGTGGTAGGAGTTTCCTCAGGCACTGTTGATACTGGCTCTGTTGCTTAAATGCGTGTCTGGGGCCTGGGGATTTAGCTCAGTGGTTCTACCGCCTGCCTCGAAAGCACAAGGTCCAGAGTTCAATCCCTGGTACCCTGCCCCCCCCCAAAAAACAACACTTTAAATGTGTGTCTGGTACTGGCTGCTCTGGTGGGGGTGAGGGACCTGAAGCGCACCTCAGGGTCCTCTGATTAGACACTGGTGCCAGGTCCACATGCCTCATGTGGCAGGATTCACAAGATCTCCTCTTAGGCATGTATACCTAGTTCTGTGAGCAGTGTGTGATCAGACCAGGTCCAGGATCTCAGACCCCACCCCAACCCCACCACCAGCTATGCATGCCTGAGGTTGGGGGGACAGCCAGGTGCTTTACTCACACTAGTGTGTGTGGGGGGGCACCCAGGGCCTTGCATCTGTTAGGTGAGTACCTTACCACTGAGTTATATCCCCAATCCTGTGACCCAATATTCTCAGTTGTGCCTGCTAGGGTCTGGGCAGGAGTGGGCCATGGCTAGAGCCAGGTAAAACTCCTCCTGACTTAGCTGCTCTCAGGAGGGAGGCAGGCAGAGCAGAATGCTGCCATCACTGCTCAAAATTTCTCTGCAGAACCCCTTAGGCCCTGCACCTCAGAGGCAGGGCTAGTCAGGGCAGTGGCGGTACTGCACAAACCTCCCTAGTAAACTGTTCCCTTTCTCCTGTTGGCAACAGTGCCTGTGCGTGGAGCTGGGAAAGTGCTACTGGGCAAACGGCTCAGTCCTGGCGCGCACAGTAGCCGCAGCCCCGTCTCAGAGGGAGCTCCTGATGCCCTGGCTGTTGTGGACAGCACCCTCTGCTCCATGTCACAGCCTCCGTCCCACTATGTAGCACACTCAGCGGGTTCTGTCGGTCACTCCCGAGCCAAGGCTGACTCTGAGAGGCAGCCACTTCCGGAGCCACTGCAGTAGGGGGCTCCCTGAGATGGGAAGATGCAGGGGGTTCTGACCTCTAAAGCAGTCCAAATTTAGATTATAGGTTCCCACCCAAGATGGCTCCTGGCTACAGAACCCCGAGGCGGGAGGGTCACTGGGAGATGAAGCAAATTCCTCTTCCAATCCGAGACTCCCTACACAGGCTCAGAGTCTCTTACTGTTTAGAACGTAAACCTGTATGGGCCATGAAACTTCTCCCATGGCTAAGACTGTCACTACGTGAGGCAGAGGAGTCAGTGAGTGCTGGGAGCCTCTATTCACTATCTTGCTGTCCAAGAACTTTTTTTATGATCATAGTTAAGGTGTTTATTCTAGTTTTAGATAAAATTAACCCAGTTATGGAAAAGTTATTCTTTGTATAGCTGTGATTAATCATAGTTTTCCAGTCTGTAGATTAAATATAATCGTTTACATCTATAGAAGGTTGAACCTGCTATCAAGTAACTTGATCTCTTAGGCATAAAGTATTAGAAGTGGCTTTAAGATAAGTCAGTGATGAGACTATGTGTAGAAGTGAGAACACGCTTCCTAGCAGATGAAACAAGACTAAGAACTAGAATTTTTAAATCTGGGTGACAGGGACATGGCTCGTTATGTGTGTTTAAAAATTTCCACATGGAGGAAAGAAAAAATGCAGGAAGTTACCTGGAACACGGCAGCTGCTTTCTATATAACAGGAACTGTGATTTTTACCATCAATAAAGTTCAATTTAGGGAGATTAGTAATTTACCCAGAGCCACACAGAATTGGCAAAAAACATAATCGATGTAGCCCGATGGACAGAGACAATAACTACAAAAGCCACTCACTGAAATTGAATTTTTATTCCAAATGACTGTATGATGTCTGGAAAGACGACTGCTGACAGTCAAAACAGTGCACTTAATTAGAAATTAAAAGTAGTTGATTTGCAAGTGAGCCAACAGAGTGCTAGTCTGGCACTATGGCAATGGTTATGCGCCAAAAGCACAAAAATAACCCATGTCCTTCTGACACATAATCCTGATATGTGGTGTTTATAGTAAATAACATAAAAAGCAAGAAAGAAGACAGGAAAGGAAAAGGAAAAAAAAAATCCCCAAACCTTGGAAATTAAGACTCACTTAGGAACACAGTAGTGAAGACTTCTGGTAGCAAAATTTTCCCTGTTAAAATGAGTCTTCCAAAGGACTTCTTCAAATTGAAAAAGCTAAAAAAACTGAAGAGGGAACCATTACACTGGCTTAGAAGTGCTGCCCCTCTCAGGAAGGTGACAGTCAGTCCCACTTCCAAAGCACAGTGAGAACCTGGGCCTCAAGGAGGCCGGCGGTGGCGCTGACATCATTGATTGTACACACACACGTTGGGGCACCTCATTCACGGCGACAGCCACGTCTACTGCTCCTCCTGGCTGATGCTGAGGTTGCCCTTCTGCACCTCCAGCTCCTCCGCACTGACCATGGATGGGTCAATGGCAGCATATTTGGTTCCGTGGAATTGCAGCAAATGTATCTGTAGCGATGCAAAGTCATTCTAATCACTGTACAAACAGAATCCCTGTGTGGGGCCAGGGATCAAACCCAGGGTCTTGGATATATTAGGCTGGCATTCTACCACTGAGCTATATCCCCAACCCTTTTTGTTTTGTTTTGGTACCGGGGATTGAACTCAGGACCTTGTGCTTGCAAGGCAGGCGGCGGAACCACTGAGCTAAATCCCCAGCCCTCCCGTTTTGAGACAATGTCTCACTAAGTTGCCCAGGGCTGGGCTGGCCTCCAACTTGCAACCCTCTTGCCTCAGCTTCCTGAGCAGCTGAAATTTGAGGCATGGATCACTGCACCTGGCCAGAATAATTTTTAATGGGTGTAATGCGGAGCAGAATGCACATTGCCTTCCATAGGGAGCTCTGCAGGAAGGTGCTACTGTAGTAGATAATGTTTTACTCTAAAATTACAGACTAGTATAGACGAGAGAAGAAATGGTAAGCACAGACATGTCAAAGAAGCATTTTTAAGAGCCTCAGTGTAGCATCTTTGATCCCAGATAGCTTTCTTTGTTACCAGCATCTCCATGTTCCTGCAAAGCCCCTTCACAGGCATTAAAAATGGCTGCGGGCTGCTTAGCCAATGCACAGTCCCCTTTTCTCCCCATCCTCTGCTATTCTGATGACTGCCACAAGTATATCTGGGGACCCTTTTTCTACCTACCTTAGGAAAAGGACCGAAGGACGCAACTGCAGTTTGCCAAACTGCCCCAGTTAATCACTTGTCACTGCTACCCTAATATCTATTTAGGCAGAGGATGAGGAAGTGGTGGGTTGTTAATGCATTAAAATAAGATCAAGAAGTTGATGAGACTGAGCAGGACCTCATTTTGACCTGGTGTCTTGTTTGGTTGAATTTACTGTGTGCTTGATGACACCAGTGGCCACCGCAGGTGTGGACAAAGGACGACTACTCAGGAGAGGGATGGTGGGCAGAGTCGGTTGGGGTTTGAATAAGACAGCTGTCGGAAGTCTCCTGTACATTAGAAATGGAGGTGCCTCGTTTCTCTGAGCACCCGCACCCTGCTCGAGTGTGTCTTACATCTCTACTAAGATTTTTTTCCAAAACAGCGAAACTGCAAACGTATTTTAAAGATAGGTTAAGTTCCTTATTTCAGCCTCGGGGACTCTTAGACACAGCCCTGTGACATTTGTCTTGGCAAAGAAAATAAAAATATATAACTTTAAAATGTTAATTGTAGTATGCTTTGGGTCTAATTAAAAATTATAAATGTAAACCACATCAAGTCAATGCCTCTTTGCATAGACAATTCTGTCATTCCAGAACAGCTTTATGCTACAAACTGTACTCACCTGTACGTAAAGATTCACCTCTGCGCTTCTGCACAGGTAGGGGAAGTTGCCTCCTGTTTTAAGGTGCGCTCTCCGGGCGTTAGGGTACAATTTGTACATTTCTTCTTTAGCTTCAGTTGAAAGTGCGCTTTGGTCAAACACCTTCAAAAAAACAACAAAGCTGAAACTGACTGGCATTTTAACAAGTTCTTGTCACAGTATGGAAAGTGCCACCGCAAGATCTCCTTTCTCATGAAGGGACAACACTGAGCCCCCGAACAGCCTGAGCCACACCCAGCGCTGATCCCTGGTCACTTCTTACTCCAACCTAAGATGTTGGCTACAGTTTTTTGCTGTAAAATGCCTCTTTCATTTTTTTTTTTTTTTCTGGTACTGGGAAATGAACCCAGGGCCTTCCCTCTTTATATTGGACAGGGTCTGCTAAGTCACTAAGTTGCCCAGGCTGGGCTCGAACCTACAGTCCTGCCTCAGACTGCCAGAGTGCTGGGATTACTGGTGTGACACCGTCCCTGGCTTTTTGTGTTTTTTCAGGGGGGAAATTCTACCAGGAATTTTCTTTTTCCTCAAATATAGTTAATGATTGTTTACTATTAATATTTTATTAATAGAAATGCCAATTTCAGAAAAGATCAGGAAATCTCAAAAGAACTTTATTACTGAAAACAATTACATAAGTCATATATGCTCAGTGAAAAAATTCCAGAAGGTATTTAAAAAGATTAAAAAGTCCAAATCCTATGTAATTCTGGACAAACTTCAATGTACATACAAATTCTGCTTGTAATGGATAATTTCCTACCAAAAAGAAATACCACATTATTTGAATTTAAGAATAAAGCAATTTATGAGACAAACTAAGTCAAGGCTGAGGCATAGCTCAGTGGTATATCATGTGCTTACCATGCTTAAGGCTCTGGGTTTGATCCTCAGCACCAAAAAAAGAGTAAAAACCACGGTGAGATAGCACTTCCCATCCATGAGAAGGGCTAGTATGTGGAGAAACTGAAACCTCTGTATATTGCTAACGGGAAGGTAAAATGGCAGAGCCTTTGTGAAAATCAATATGGCAATTCCTCAAAAAGTTAAAGAATTACCATCTGCTCCAGCAATTCCAGTCACAGGTATACACCCACAAGAATTAAAAGGAATATGGAACATTATACTAATGTTCATTCATCGTGGCCAAAAGCTGATGTTCACTGGCAGCTGAGTGGATAAACAAAAGGCAAAACATAAAAGTGGAATTATTCAGCCTTAAAAGAATGACATGGACATGTCATAGCATCAATGAAACTTAAACACACTGTACTAAGTGAAACTGTCCAGCCGCAGAGGGTAAATATAGGAAGAATCCACTTATTTGATGTACCTAGGGTAGGCAGATCCATGGAGACAGAAATTAAGATTGCTGGTTGCCAGGGGCCAGCGGAAAAGGAGGGATGGGGAGTGATTAAGGGATGTAAAGTTTGCGGTGATGAAAACACTCTGGAAGTGGGTGCAGTTGATGGTTGCACAACACCGTGAATGCACCGAACGTCACTGAACTATAGATTTAAAAGTGGTTAAGGTGGTAAACTTTGTTAGATATATATTTTACTGTAATTTGTTAAAGATAAGCTTTTGTGCCAACTGGACTTTATGGAATTCCTGATTCTCTGCCCTCAAGTATCTTCTCTTTGCTGGCCACATGTGTAATAGCTAAAAAACATCTGTTGATGAGAAAGCAAAAATGTACTAAAATGGGTAACGACTACCAGGGCCTCATACATGCTAAGCAAGCGCCCTATCACAGAGCTTCATCTCCAGCCCCAACTACTTCTTTCAGTGGTGGTGTTATAGTTGTCGGGAAAAACTCAGGAGAGGCGATAAACCACTTATTTTGGAACTGAGAAAGCTGGGAGTAAAAACAGAAGCCATGGCAGCATTTGGAGAAGCACATTTTAAGTTATAAAATATATCTCGACATGTGCATTTAGAAAGGAAAAACATCTATGGTACTTAAAAGGAAGCTCACTTACATCCATAATGGTTACAGGAATGTCCCGAATTTTATGAGGTTCCACATAAGAATTCTGACAATTCAGGGTCAGTCTTGAAGCCAGTTCACTCTGACCCAGACTTTCCAGCTGCAGAAAGAAACACAGGTTAAAATTTTTAAAATAGCTTTTTTTTTTTTTTTTTTTGGAATTGAGCCCAGGACAGGCTCTCTGCCTTCCCTGGGACCACACCACTTCCTTCTGAGCTGAAGGACTGTTTTTTTTTTTTGTTTTTTTTTCGGTACCAGAGATCGAACTTGGGTCCTTGCGCTTGTGCAGCAGGCTCCGAAACCACTGAGCTAAATCCCCAGCCCCTTAAAATAACTTTTTAATGGGCCGGGGATTTAGCTCAGTGGCATTGCGCCTGCCTCACAAGTGCAAGGTCCAGAGTTCAATCCCAGGTAGCAAAAAAAAAAAAAATTTTTTAATGTTTACATTAAATCCACAGATAACATTTGGCTTATAGAAGTGCTATCATACATGCTAGGGCCAGAAGAGTCACAGATGAGGAAACAGCGTATTTGAAAGACTGAACTGGGCCTCTGAGCCTTTTTCTAGTTCTGGAAATACAGTCTCATCTGCCTGCTTTAACCCAGCGCCTATGTGCAGCCAGCCCATTCATGCACCTCAGAGCTTGGAGTTGGAAGAGACCTCAGCAGTCATCTTCCCTCAGCTCCTAAATACAAGCTCTAGGTCGGCAGATGTATCTGAAAGGTGGAGGAGGGGGTGAAGTAAAAATACAGATGCCCAGGCCCCATGCCCAAGGATTCCAGATGGACTGTCTGGTTCGAGGCCTTAATTTTTTGAGATGAAGTTTTTTTCTGCAAGTTGCCCAAGCTCATCTTGAATTCATGCTGCTGCCGGGCATGGTGGTACATGCCTGTAACCCCAAAACTTGGGAGGCTGAGGCAGGAGAATCACTGAGTTCAAGGCTTCTCTGGGCTACACAGTAAGTTCAAAGCCAGCCTGAACTATATAGCAAGACCTTTTCTCAAAAGAGCAAAAACCAAACCAGAATCCTCCTGCTTCAGCCTCCCAAGTAGCTAGGATTACAAGCAAGTGCCACGGCACCTGGCTCTTTTCATTTTTTTAAATCTAAATCATTTAGCTGATACATGAAAGCATAAATATTATATATGTTAATAGGATAATGTGCTCTTTGCATATATGTACTTTTTTTTGAGACAGGGTCTCACCACTCTGTAGATTAGGCTGGCCTCATCAAGGTGATCCTCCTGCCTCAGCCTCCCAAGTGCTAGGACTATAGGTGTGCACCACTATGCCTGGCTTTCTAGCTTTTTGAAATGTTCAGTATATTATCCATAGTTGCCTTGAAATCTTTTTGTTTTGCACTACTGGACATTGAACCCAGGTCCTTGACACAGGGCTCCAACCTGTGATCCTCCTCCCTCAGCCTTGCAGAGTGCTGGGATTACAGGTATGTGTCACTACTCCCAGCTTGAAATCTTTATTTCTGAAAGCCTCCTGTGTGATTTTGACGAACAGCTGCTGGGAAGCACTCATGTCGCTAAAGCCCTTACCAGCAGTAGCATCTGTCTGGAAGTACTGAAGTGAATATGGCAGATGGCTTGACACTCACTGAGACAGATGTACCCTCAGGAATCAGTAGCTGTGAAAATTCCCAGTACAAGGTGTTCCCACCCCAGTGCTATGATCCTTACCCTGTCCACCATGAAATCAATGGCATCAGCCATCATAGGGTCCACTGGGCCAGATGAAAAGTTTCCAAGAACTATTTTTTTGAGCATAAATGCAGGCATCAGCCAAAAGCTGTAAAGCAAAGACAAAGTCCCAGTAATTTGAACTTGCCAAGAGTACACATTCATTCAACACTGAAGCTTTGTAAGTATCTTGGAATCTAGCTATAAAAAGACCTTAATGCCAGGAATGTAGCTCAGTGGTGCAGTGCCTGCCTGGCAAGTGCAAGGTCCGGAGTTCAATCCCCACTACTGAGAAAAAAAAAAAAAAGAAAAAAAGAAAAGAAAAGAAAGAAAAAAGACCTCCTTTCAAAGAGCTCAGCATCTTGTTTCTACACTCTCAAAAGAGTTTAGAGCCAGGTGTGATGGCGCATGTGTGATCCCAATACTCCGGAAGCTGAGGCAGGAGGATTGCCTTGAGTTCGAGGCCATCCTGGGCTACATAGTGAGCTCAAGGCCAGCCTGAACTGCATGGTGAGGCTCTGACTCAAAAACAAAAGAGAATGACTATAAACAATATTTCAAAATATCTTCAAAAGGGCTGGGGATTTAGCACAGTGGTGCCCCCGCCTGCATCACAAGCCCAAGGTCCTGAGTTCAATCCCCCGTATCCAAAAAACCAACAAAAATACCTTCAAATGAGGTGGACATTCTGATGATTCTAAGTGTTTTTTGTTTGGCCTGGTTTCCAATGACTAAACTAGTTCATCTAGAAAACTGAGCATTAAGAGAAATAGTCTTGGGCCAGGGATTTAGCTCAGTAGTTCTGCTGCCTGCCTCGCAAGCGAAGGACCCGAATTCGATCCCTGGTACCAAAAAAAAAAAAAGTCTTTCTTTCCAGTTGATAATCTTTCAATCAACTCTTATTTCAAAATAGCAAAATGAAAGTTATCATACCTCCCTAAATTCGCTACTATTATATTCATTCAGGCCCATTCAGGGCAATTCAATCTTTATGGATTTCTATGTGATTTTTAAATTGATATTAATTTTGTGAATTACAAATGTTAAGCGGCATCATGAAGGGTGTACACTAATTTCTCAATCTATGCTAAAAACTATAAAGAGCTTCTTCTCATACATATTGTCTGCAGAAAAGTATTGTTCGAAGTTGAGCTTCCCTCAAAAGTGTGATGCAGTCGTCTTCTACGTCACTTTCTAAGCTCTCTCCCACCCCCACCCACTGCTTTCTTACCTTTTTTCTTTTCCTGTGGAGCTGGGGATGAAGGGCCCTGCAGCTGAGCCACACCCTAGGCCTTTTACCTCTTAGAGGTAATGGTGTCTACCTCACCTCCATCTCAGTGTGTGGCACACACAAAGAGCAGCTGATATGCAAGAGCACAAACTGGGGACAGCCTTGGCCAATGAGAACAACAGTACAGGTCATCAATGAGCTTTAAAGCACCAATGTGCTTAAGAAATTGCTGCCGAATGCTGAGAAAATAAACCCCTGAAACAACATGCAGAAAGGTCTTAAAAATAGCAAGACTGTAATCTTAAGTAGACGTGTGGAAACCATGCAAATGGTGCTGACTTACAACATCATTTAAAAGCTAACCGAATTATACAGATACAGTCAGGGAGTCAATGGGCTTCTGGTTGCTGGAAAGGGCCTGTGTCCCCCTGCACACACAGTCCTTGTCCCTCATGTAAACAAGTGGCGCAAATTAACAGATTACCAGCTACCAGGTTTCCTTAGTTATTTTCTTCTAAAGATAAACAGCTTACAACCTATGTTACAATGGTCTTTCATTCCTCCATTCTTAGCACTGCTGGCTTACCAAATCGTTCTTCGCTCTAGCAACTTGTCCTTGAAAAACTTGTAAAAGAAACAACACACACATACACACAAAATGTACTATTGAGGAAAAAATAATTTTTCCCTAAAGGCAGGTTTTGTAAGGACTGCTTCAAAATGTTAATTTTAAGAAAGAAACCAGGCAGAATAGAACCAACAAGTACAGACGTAAACAAAGTTTTAAGTATGGGGCTGTATTTTTGGTGAATAAGGTTACAAAGAGTGTTTTTGTACAAAAATATTGTACAATAAAATAAATTTCTATCCTATACTAAAATGACTGAATTATTCCAAAGTGGGAAAAAGGATAAAACTAAAGGATCTGAGCAAGTCACACAAGTCATGATTTAGAAAATTTGTGTGTGATCAAGTTAGACACAAGTTGTTCTGAAAGCCACCTTGTCAACAATTCCCTGTTGGAGGGTTTTAACTATATACATGGGCAACCACTGGATTTCTTGGGATGCCTGACCTTTTATCAACATCGGACTTGTTTAGTTGGAAGAATAATTCTCCCTACAGAGAGGGACTCACTGTCGTAAGTTGAAATGAGAAGAAGGAAAGATGGGAAGCTCGAAGATAGAAAGACAAGGTTATTCAGGTACAGAAAGGGGCCCAGTGGCTCCCTTACAAGTTTTACAGGAGCCCCAAGTAAAACTGAGTGGGGAACAAATTAATTGATGGACACAGGTGCCAGCTATTCAGCAGATACTAAGTTGGCATAAGAAACTTCAGAGACCATTTCTCCAGGCGAAATGGAGGCTTGCCCCCTCTTGGAAGCTTTGGAATGCTGCCTTTGCGATAGCGTTCTAACAGTTTCTTGGATATGCCCAGGTGCCCACATCCTCTTTTGGAATGAGATCCCCTATGTAAACTCTAGGATAACTCAACAGTAAGGGTCTGCCTGAACAGGCTTGGATCCTACAGTTGGCCCTCCTGACAAAAATACCACCTGAAGTCATCCAAAAGTTAAGGTGAGGAAGTTAAGGCAAGGAATGCTCCCCCAATCAAAAACAATACCCTTTGGAGGAGGAGGCTGGATAAGAGATAAAGTTCATTCTTGAAAAGTTTCTTAATACAGGACTTGTTAGATCCTGCCAGTCTTCCTGTAACATCTCCATTCTCCCAGCCAAAAACTATGTGACTGAAAAGCAATGTGTCCACAAGTCCTGCATCCATAGTGAGACAGGAGGCTAGTGGCTAAAACTAGCTGGGACAGTAGGTAGGACCTGTTAATTACAAAATCCTAGGACACGTGCACAGAACAGTTCCCAAAGCCCTGAATGTGGACTTCTTGCGAGAACTCCAGGTTTTCAACAGGATAACCTAGACGTGAGGCCAGTGTGGGAAATACACAAAAGAACAGCCTCCACTGAGCTCTCACTATTGTATCCCTTCATGATAGCCCACCCTCATACTGTGGGGTGTACTTTTAAACTTTTTTTTCCTCCTACTTTTATTTGGCCCAGACACACTCTGCAGAACCTGTTTTTTTCCATCTTAAAGAAATGCAAAACCTTATTACCATTTGTGCTTGTCTTGACTAATTCTTTGCCCAAGACAGAAAAAACCTTGAAATCACCTCTACAAGGAGACTCCAGCACCCCAGAATCTGGTAATATATTTGGCATAGCCGGCCAGCGGATTAAGTCAGGGGTTTTTTTTTTGTTTCTCTCTAAAATCTATGGCCGAGAAGGGTTTGTTTGGTTTTTTTTTTCTCCCCTTGCGTTAGGTTTAGCATACTTTTCAAAAAAGTTAGAGTGGCCACTGGATGGCCATCCTGCCGGAGGGCAGGGGCAGCTACAACTATGCTAACAGAAGAAGCTATGAAACTAACTTTGGGACAAAAATTAGAAGTCCTGGCCACTTAGCTCAGTGGCACTGTGCCTGCCTCACAAGCACAAGGTCCTGAGTTCGATCCCTGGTACCAAAAAAAAAAAAAAAAGTCCTGACTACCCACCAGGTCAGGGCTATTCTTGAGATGAAAGGTAACTTGTGCTTAACAGGGGAAAGGCTTACCAAATATCAGGCTATGCTCTTAGACACTCCTGAGGTTATCATAAAAACTTGCACTATTGTTAATCCTACCTCTTTAATTCCTACAGGCCAAGAAGTTAGCCACTCTTATGAAAAAGTGATCTCCCAGACCTATGCAAGCAGACAGAATGTCAGAGATGTGCCCCTCCAAGACCCTGAGGAGGTATGGTTCACAGATGGAAGTAGCTTTGTCTGAGAAGGATATCAAAAGGCAGGGGCCAGGGATTTAGCTCAGTGGTTTCACCGTCTGCTGCACAAGCGCAAGGACCTGAGTTCAATCCCTGGTACCAAAAAAAAAAAAAAAAAAAAGGCAGGCTATGCAGTTATCAGCTCACAATACATCAATGAAGCCAAACCCCTTTCCCCAGAAACCTTGGTCAAAAGACAAAGCTTGTAGCTCTTACTCAGGCATTGATACAGTGGGCCCTTGAGTTATGACCAGCCTGACATACAAACAACTTGGGTCACAACCAGAACACTAGGAAAATTATTGGTGCTTCTGGTAGATTACACACATTATGCAACCCTTTTTTTTTTAATGTGAAAAGGTTAGTTAAGGGGTGCTTTGGAAAGTTTGGAATGCATTTTGGGTATTTCCATTATTTTGTATGGGAGAAACAGTTTTGACTTAAAAACAACTTGAGTTACAACCAGCCCATGCAAACAAATTTAGTTCATAAGTCAAGAGTTTACTGTATTTCTTATGGGGAAAAATAGTCTTGAGTTATAACCAACTTGAGTTACAACCAGTCCTCACAAACAAATTGAGTTTATAAGTCAAGGGTCCACTGTATTAGGAAAAGGCAAAAGGTTAAATATCTATACAGACTCCAAATATGCATTTCTGGTGCTACATGCACATGCAGAAATATGCAAAGAAAGTGACTTGCTAACTAATAAGCAATCATCTACAAAGAAAGAACAAGAAATTCTACAACTCCTAGAAGCATTCTATCTTCCCAAGCAGGTTGCTGTTATGCATTGTAAGGAACACCAAAGAGACATGTCTAAAGTCTCTTTGGGAAATCAAAAAGGCTCATAGGAAAGCAAAAAGGGCAGCATTACAACCTCTCAAGGCCCTAGCCTTATTCCTGGTTCCTTTAGGAACCATTAAAACCAGTTTATAGGGACCAGGGATTAAGCTCAGTAGTTCTGCTGCCTGCTGCACAAGTGCAAGGACCCGAGTTCGATCGCTGGTACCAAAAACAAAGAACAAAAACAAAAAAACAAAAACTAGTTTATACTCACCTGGAAGATAAATAGGCCTTAGGACAAGGGAGAATTAAAAAGGATTAGGGTATTTAGAAAACAAATTGGCCTTCCAGAAGGGACACAGTGGAAGGCTGTAAAAACCCTTCACGATTCTTTCCATACGAGAAGAGAAGCTACATGAGAAATGGTCACTCGAATTTTTATAGAACTAGGACTAGCAACAACCACCCAACAGGTCTGCAAAGTTTGCCCAATCTATGCCTACAATAACCCTGGCAAGCCCAAACCACCTCCTTTGTTAGAACCTGTACAGGGGAGAGGGATGTAATGTGGGGAAGAATGGCAGTTAGACTTTACTCACATCCACCATATGGGGGATTTAACAGATACTGTCCCTAATTGGCAACTTTACAGGCTGGAATGAAGACTTCCCTACCAATTCAGAAAGGCTACAGAGGTAGTCAAGGTTGCTCCTCAAATCATTCCCCAGTAGAGACTACCCCAGTCCCCTCAGAGTGACAAGGGTCCTTCTTTTACCTCTCAAATAAGTCAAAGTACCATCTCTATTCTCCATGGAGACCTCTGTCTTCTAGAAATGTCAAGAGAGACAACCAGACCCTAAAGTGAGCTCTGGAAAACCTGTGCCAAGAGATGCCTGAGTATGAGGTCCAATTACTGACAGTATCCCTCATGAGAGTTTGAAACACTCCCAAAACTTGGCTAAATATGAATCCACTTGAGATGTTGTATGCAGGGCCTTTTCTATCTTCTCATATGGTAGTAGATTCAGAGATCATGAGATTCTTACAATATCTTATTAATCTAGGCCAAATGTAACAGGCTATCCAACTGTACGGGAATAGAATCCTGCCAGCTTCTAGTCCAGGGGGACCCCCTAGTGTCTACCCTGGAGACCAAGTGCTCATTAAAATTTGGAGAGAAGGGATTCCCACAGAAGAATAAAAACCAAAATGGAAGGGCCCCTTTTCAGTGATCCTTGCCACAACCTCTGCACTAATGGTGGCAGAGACAGACACCTGGATTCACCTTTCCTAGGATAAAGCCAGCCCCACTTTAAAAAAAGACCACATAAAAGGAAAAGACTACTCCTGTGAACCTCTGAAGACCTGAGATTTCTCTTCAAAATACATGACTTCAGTACTACTCTGAGTACAGACAGGTAAATGGAAACTTACTAAGGTATATGACATCCCTCTTTGCTATACTTTCTCCTACATAGGAAGTATGGAACTCTGACCTGTTCCTCATATTTGGGTTCTACACCCCCAACCTAATAGTCAAGTTACTTTCTCTCTCCCATCAAACAGCTCAACAGTCACTCTTTTCTCATTGTTTTCTAACTTTTTAAACTTTCAACCCAGCCAGTGAGCCATAACACCCCAATGTAGTTGGAGAGTACATAATCCCCAGTAGGTACAGCTTAAAGCTCCTTCCAGCAGGACGTAGCTATATGAAGATAGACCCTTCCACTCCCTCAGCACCCTGTAAAAAGTTATGGGGATATGTGTCTCTTAGGGGGAAATGAGACAAGAGGTTAGGGCATGGCTAAAACTAGCTGGAAAATAAGCATGACCTGTTAATTACAAAATTCTAGGACACATGCACACAACACATCCCAAACCTCTGCACTTGGACATCTTGCAAGAATCTGAAGAAAAAGAATTTGAGCAGGTTTTTTGACAGGGTGACCTAGATGTGAGGCCAGTGAGCGATATGAATGGGTGATATTAAGAAGGAACAGCTGCCATTGAGCTTTCACTACTGTGTCCCTTCATGATAGCCCACCCTCATGCTGTAGGGTGAACTTTCTCCCCCCTACATTTACTTGACCCAAACTTCCTCTTCAGAACCTGTTTTTTCCTATCTTTAATAAATGCAAAACCTTATTACCATTTGTGCTTAACTTGTTCAATTCTTTGCCCAGGACAGAAAGGACCTAGAAATGACCTCTAGGAGGAGACTCCGGCACCCCAAAGCCCAGTAGCGACATCACACACCCATACATTCTGATGACAACTATCCCAGGAGGATACAGTGAGTTTTCACTTCTGGACCTCAGCGATGCTTTTCTCACAATTCTGGTAGAAAACAAATCCCAAGAACTATTTGCAATGGAGTGGTAGGACCCAGACACTCAGTCTGCCTGACAATACTGCTGGACTATACTGCCTCCTAGACTTTTAAGAATTTCCCCACTTTGTTCAGGGAAATTCTAGCTAAACACTTGAGGTTACCATGTTTGGGGAAATGCTGGTTAAAACTTGAGGTCTCCCTAGTCAGGTCAGGGATTCCTGTTATAACATATGGCACAGTGACAAGTGCCTTGCCAACATGAAGACCCAATTATGTATCAGGATGTGTATACAAAGTTGTTTAAGAAAAAGGCACAAACCTGTAAGCCACACATCAGTTATTTGGGACCTGCTCTGTCCCAGGGGCAAAAAAAAAAGACCTTTTACCAGATCATAAACCTGATTGGAAGCAACTGAGAGGCCTTTTGGGAATGGTTGGTTTTTGCAGAATTTGGATTACTAATCATGGGTTTAGAGTAAAACCACTCCATGAGGCCCTTAGGGGACATGATCTTGAGCCTCTAGAATGGACTAAGGAATGTCAAAAGGCCTTTGACAGCTTCCTGACTTGCAAAAGCCATTCTTCCTGTGTTCATAAAAAACAAGGGCCACGGCTTGGAGTTTTAACTAAGCCCTTCTTAGCAAAGGTGCTGCATCCGGAGGCACATTTTCCCGGAACTAGACCACATGGCTAAGGGATGGCCTCCCTGCTTGCAAGCAGTTGCAGCCACTTATGACATTCCTCAGGAGGCAGAAAAATTCTCCTTGACACTTTGCCTGTGTATGTGTCCCACCATGTCCTCTCCTTAGAACACAAAGGTCCTGGCTCACGGCAGGAAGATGGAAAATACCATCCTGCTGGACAATCCCAACTGGCCACTTTGCTCAACTCCCTACCCACAACACAAGGGCATGCAGATTACTGAACTGGTATATTACAGCTGGCTGGCTAGATTTCTCTGATTAGCCTTTCCCCAGACTAGAACTGGAACTATTTACACTGGGAAGCAGCCTTATGCTGAGAATGGTGACATCACAGCTCTAACAGGATTTCTGGCTCCCCAAATGGACTTATTTCAAAGGGTTAAGGCCTGGGGCTTTGCTTTTGACCCAGCAGTGCCTGGTGAAATGCAGTGCTTGGGGAATAACTCTGGTCCCAGATGCACTTCTTGAGCCTGTGACGAAACAACCACCACAGTCACTTTGGGAGAAATGCCACCATCAATGAATCCCAATTTACAAAGAATTGTTCAATATGTTACTCAGAACTGCCTGTTTTGTGCCAAAAATAATCCAAAGGGAGGCACTACCATCAGGCCTGCATGGATGGGACTTGACTTTTTAGGAACAGCCCAACTAAAAGCTGGCAGGGAATGGTTTTGCTGAAAGGGCACAGAGCCCTGGAAAATGACAGGTATCTGTAAGTTTTGTAGACACCTTTTCTAGGTGGGCAGAAGCCCACCTGACTTGCACTGAAAAAGCATCTGAATATAAGAGATCCTGGAAGGGGCCTATTTCAAGATGTAGTTTTCCTAACACAATCCAAAGTGACAATGGATCTTTGTCTCAGCTGTCATCCAACAGGTATCTAAAATATTGCATATTACTTGGAAATTATACTTTTTCTGGAGGCTTCAGGTGACAGGAAAGACAAAAGATGAACCACTTTAAGGAAAGCGACTGCAAAAATCCACCAAGAAATCAACTTAAGGGCCAGGTATTTAGCTCAGTGGTTTCGCCACCTGCTGCACAAGCACAAGGACCTGAGTTTGATCCCCGGTACCAAAAACAAAAAGAAATCAACTTAAACTGCCGCAAATCAAGTCCTTCTAAAATACTATGTGGTAGCCCATTTCAGATCTCTGTCCTCAGAGGAGGGAGTGTGCTGGGTTATCACAGGGTGAGGTGGGAACTCCATATGTGAAATCATTGGGGACGATATTAACTTCTGTCTATGCATTCGCTTCCAACAGATCCACATGACACCTGTCTATTCCAACCTGGTGACTGAGTCCTTCTAAAAACCTGGAAGGAACAAAGACCATACCATCCATCTGAAGTTCTAAGAACTCCCTCTTCTGTCAGACTGGCTGCAGAGCCACTATAAACCCACCACATGTGACTGAAGTCACATTCACAATGAGGTGGTCAGATTCCTGGACTGGTGCCCCAATAGAAAACCTCAAGTACTTAAGAGAAAGTGAAATCTCAGCAATATAAGCTGGTAATGTTCATAACCACCCCGGCCCCCGATGGGGAGGTAACCCTCTTGATGACTTGACAAAACCTCTCAGGTCTGACCAGGGATGCTGGTCTTGGGGAAAAAAACTTTCCTGTTTCAATGAAGATGGCCTCTTCTCAATATGCCCTTACTATTTAAGGGGGTGTGAACAAATGCTCAGAGACAACCTCCTTTGAGGTCCTACCCAGAAAGTTTATAGAGAGGCTCTAATAAAGAGGCACAGCTACCGGAAATAGGGACAATCCCCACAGGAAACAGATGCGCCATCCCAAATGGGAGCCCATTTCAATCCTAAGCTGTACCCCCATAAAGGGATTTAGGTGTGCCATTTAACCTGGCCTAGAATTAGTATATGAGGAAGGGCCAATTTTATTGGGAAGGAATAGCAAACTGTACCTTCTCACACCTGAGAAGCGTCAGAACTAAGGCAATAACAAGCATCCACCCAACAGATCCACATCTCCAGCTGAGACAGTTTCATCCTGTGCACATCCCTCCTCCACCTGCCAGACAGAGCACTCACCTCCCCTTGTTATACAAGACTGAGGGATAGAATACTGACAGTGGGGAAAATTGTGGCTGTGCTTAGAATTATCCTTAGCTGGAACGGCCTGTGCCTCCCCAAGCATGCAACCCATGTTACTCATTGAAATTGGCTGTGCAAATTACATCAGCAGCTATTACAGTTCCTTAATCATTTCCTCCTAAAAATAAAAAGAGCTTAAAACCTTTGTACACAAGTCCACCATTCTTGGTCTTGCTGGCTTCCTGAATAAATGTCCGGCCTTACCCTAACAACTTATCCTCAATTCAATGGACCCTTTTCAAGTAGCAAGAAAATCCAGGCTTGGTAACAGGCTTTTTTGTAGGATAAAGCCTCACCTTGCTGGCAATGAAAGCAGCACATTGTAAGCCAGCTTTAAGACATTTAGTGCCTATCAAACTAATTAAAATGTTATGATCAACGAAGACATGGCTCCCAGAAAACAGATGCCATTGACTACCCCTAATGCATCTCTACCATTTCCATTTTTCTAAAGAGCCTGACATCAATTGTCATGATCTATAGACATTTGCTGATGGATTATATGCTTTAGTCTTTCCATTTGGGAAACAACCCAGAAAGAGAAGGAAAACAGTAATTTGTACAGAGATTTGTAGCAGAATGTGATGAAACATTGGGAAAAGCCAAACACCTAATAAAACTATTATTCAACACATAAAACTGTTCACATAAAATGCATGGGGCCAGCAAAATGCAGTATCAGCTACATGGATGCACTGAAGAAAAACTAAAACTGTACAGATATATATTAATAATTTAGAATACAGAAATAGTTGGATTTAGAGTTCACTTGTATCCTTTGTTTTGCAAAGGCAATTGTTCGAATTTTAATAGCCAGGAAAGCTGCAGAAGACAGATGCAAGTTATGATCTTTCCCACACCCACAAAGGTCAAAATACCCTAAGGCTAACATTTTTTAAATTCCACTAAACAAAAAAACCATGCATTTTTTTGCTTAATGCCCTGTCCTTACCTGTTCGCAGTCCAAGTCTGGTTGAAGATGGAGGTGTCACTGAAGGAATTGCAGAGAATGAGGGAATGGACTCTAGGAGATTTGTGAGTGTATTCAGCAAATTTCTGGGCTAAAAAGCCTCCCAAAGAAGCCCCAAACAGATGGACCTAATTATAAACAAACATAAGGCAGATCCTGAAACACATATCAATCCTGATCATGAGTGTTATTTTTGTAAACTGCTTCAGTTATCACTAACCACAGTGTGTTGGGTAACAGACTGAAATATCTACAGCACTTAGAAATTAAGAAACATTATATTTAAGTACAATTTATACACCCCATTAATAGTACAACTATAAATCCATATTAGATAAGTCAAAAACTCATTCACAAGTTGCATTAGAAAATGAAACCAATTAGTTCGGGAAAACTGCGAGGCTTGGGGTATAGCACAGTGCAGAGCACTTGTCTAGCATGAGTAAGACCTTGGGTTCCATACCTCATGCCAAAAAAAGAAAACAAATTTTAAAAAATTAAGACTCCGTAATTCCACTCCTAGGATCGTACCTAAGAAAACTGAAGACATGTTATAAATACTGATAGCAGGATTATTCATGATAGCCAAAATGTAGAAACAAATGATATATGCATACACTGATGAATGGATAAGCAAATATGATATGTGGATATATATAATAAAATATATATATAGCCATAAAGGGGAATGAAATACAGGTTGAACATCTAGAAAATGAAAATCTGAAATACCTCGAAACCTAAAACTCTTTGAAGACATGACACTCGAAACATTTCAGATTTTGAAGCAGTTTGAATTTTGAGTTTGGGGAGGTCTAGCAAATATTCCAAAATCTGAAACACTTCTGATCTCAAGCACTTCAGATAAGGTATAACCTGTACTGAGTCAGGCTGTGATATGAAAGAACCTCAGACACATTATGCTAAGTGAAAAAAGCCAGTTACACAGGACCACGGTTGATGACTAGAGTTATGTAAAATATCCAGAAAGGACAAATTCAGAGACACAGAAAGTAGGTTAGGCTGCAGAGCTAATGATGGAGAAAAATTGCTAATAAATAAACCTGGGTTTCTTTTTGGCAATGCTGGGGACTGAACCCTTGTGCATTTAGGCAAGCACTCTACCACTGGGCCCAATCTGAGGTTTCTGTTAGGGGTGAAAAGATGGTCTAAAAATTGCACATACCTAGGAATTTATTAAAGAACAATAAATTGTACACTTTAAAAGGACAAACTGTATGGCAGGTGAATTATATAAAAATATTTAAAAAAATAAAAAGCATCGGGCTTTACAAGATCAATGTTACATTACAATCATATATGAGTAATTAGTTTCAGGGTACTCACTTTATCCAGTTGTAAATGATCTAGAAGTTTTCTGAATCCATCACAGAATTCAAGGTGGTCCCAATAAACTGGATACTGCAACTGAAATAGTAATTTTAAAATTTATTTTTCAAACTGTAAAAGCACAAATGCAACTCATACCTGAAAAATTTAGGATTCATATAACAACTTCTCATTTGCTCAAGTTTTGTTTCTTATTCAAAATATGTGAAAATGAGCTCTCATCTTCTAAACTTCATATTTTATCCAACAGGCAAAAATTTGAAAAGGCTAAAAAGTAAAAACACTCTAGCTATACTATGTGAATAACAATTTCATTTCACATCAATTTCCTTTCCAAATAGCTGAGGAAGTCTGAGGTTCAAGGGTGAGTAGGGCAATAAAGAAATGTTGTTCTCCTTTAAAGCCAATTTCATTCTGAATTGAGAACATGATACGCAAAGAGCTCAAGAGAACTGGAAATAAAATCTGTCCTGACAACTTCCTCCCTTTTTAAGGAGGTGTTCAATAAAATTGTTCTTCTTTTAATGGGCTTAGTCATTTTATCTGATTTTTGTACTTTCATTTGTGAACAACAACTAAATAAAGAGTATGATATTGACCATAAGGAGCCTGCTCATTAATGCTGGCAAAGACAAGGAAAAAGTACAACTCAAACTCATTTCCAGGGGACTTGGGCTTGCCCTCAGAATTCCCCTCTTCATACACACAAAAAATCTATCGACAGGATCATTGTGTAAGCTCTTAAGATTTGTCACTGAAAAATCACTAGAATAGACACTGCACGGGAATTACGGGTAATTTTGAATTTGATGTAATACATTACTTTTATTGTTAAAATTCTATTTGTGGATAAGATTTCTACCATTTTGAGAAAGGATGGAGAACAGAGCCTTCCTAGCAGAGTATTTGAGTCAGATGATAGACTAAAAGAAAGGGGATTTTTTCCCTGCTTTTTTTTTAGAATCCTGGGGATTGAAGCCAGAGCCACTAAGCTATATTCCCAGCCCTTTTTTCATTTCTTTTCTTTTTAATTTTATTTTGAGACAGGGTCTCATTAAGTTGGCCAGGGTGGGCTCGAACTTGCAATTCATCTGCCTCAGCCTCCCAAGTAGCTGGAATTACAGGCATGTGGCACCATGCTCAGCAAAAGGGGATACTTTCATGAAGGGTTTAATTTAAAAATATGCATCCCAAGCTGAGGATACAGCTCAGTGGTAGAGTGTGTGCTCAGCAAGTCCAGGGCCCTTGGTTCAATCTCCAGCACCCACCAAAAAAAAAAAAGAATCCATGTAAAACACAGGTGATAAGGTTGTATAAAACTTAGTGTGCATGTGTGCCACACACACATGTGCACACACAAATGAGCCCAAATAAATGGGGGAAATTTGAATAAGCCTGATAGATTGTGTTAACATCAACATTCTAGTTTTGATATTGCACTATTATTCTGCAAAATGTTATTAGCAAAAACTAAGCAGATTGCAAAAGGATTATTTCTCTGCTGTGTGTGTGTTGCTGGGAACTGAACCTAGGGCCTCACACACGCTAGGCAAGTGCGCTAGCACTCAGCTACACTCCCAACCCCTTTTGTTTGTTTCTCTGTGGTCTGATGTATTTTACTAGCAAACTTACAGGAACACCGAAGACAGACCACATGAAAAACATGTACTTGCACGCAGTGCAACTCACTTAGAAAAGTATAAGGGGCAGTTGAAATCTACCATATAACATAAATGCTACAAATACCATTTAGTTGCTGCATGAAATTAGTTTTTTAAATCCAAAAACTACCATTGTCCAGAAAAATAATTTACAACTGTTATGAAGTAGAACTGCTGAAACTTGTTCATTGAAACATTCTGATCTGCTTTATATCTCCACATTTATATTAAAAATTTACAAAAGAGGGGCCGGGGATTTAGCTCAGTGGTTCTGCCACCTGCCTTGCAAGTGCAAGGTCCTGAGTTTGATCCCTGGTACCAAAAAAAAAAAAAAAAAAAAGCAATAAAAATTTACAAAAGAACGTACAAAAACCGTCAATACCTGAGTTCTGTCTTCTCTTTTTCCACTTGCAGTCATATAATGACGGCACCTTTTGATCTCACAGAAAGAAAAAAATCTAACATTCAGGACTACCAGTAATGGGAAAAGGAATTTTGTTTTTAAATGCTGGGATGCTTCATGAATTCCCATGTCATCCTTGTGCAGGAGCCGTGCTAATCTCAGCATCATTCCAGCTTTAGTACATGTGCTGCCAAGGTGAGTGTCCTGTATTTCCTACAAATGCATGTGATTCTTCAATCTTCGCAATAAAATTTAAATGAAAAAGATCCATGCATTTTCACTGCTAGATACTAACAAATACCTAGCTAAGTTTCAAAACTTCATGGGGATGAGCATTTTAATCAAATCTTGGAGACGGGGTGAAGTCACACTATTTTCTTGAGTCAGTATCTAGCAAATGAGATGGGAAAGCCCTCATCAAGAACCTTCCGGGCTAAGAATTATCATCCCCTGGGGGACGAGGGTATAACACCTGCCCTCCTAGAACACCGTGTGTGGAGGAGGACAATGGATACCTGGCCCACAGGGGCGAGGCTGCAGAGATGCCACATGCTGGAGGACTCGATAGAGAAGTGAAGCTGGAGAAGGGACCAGGGCAGCCAGCAAGCAGCTCAGGTGATAACTGTTTTCTCAAGGGCAGGGCTACCAGAAAGAGGACTTGGACTTGTTTGGTGCAAACCCAGTGTGTGCTAAGACCGGCAGAATTTTCAGCTACCCTCCAAGAAAAGAGCGCCAACCTCTCCTTCAGACAGAGGGTAACCTGTGTGACAACAGCAGAACCCTGACAGAGAGCACAAGGGACATGCTAACTGTCCAGCTCCTGGAGCCACTACAAGCTCCAAAGCTAAAGAAGGGTCCCTCCTTCCTGGGAAGCTGATAGCGCTGTCACACAGGCTTGTGAAAAATGGGTCACAACCAACAGTGCCTTCCCTGCACACGCCTCTCTCCCAGAGAAAGCAGTTGAGTAACAGGAAACTAGACTGAGACCAAACTCAGAGATAAAATAATGACAAGCAAACAAAGGAAAAAAATTCTTAACCAAATGCTAAGGATAGGTGCTAACTAAAGAACAGGACCTCAAATGTTAAAGATTTACATGAAGGGCAAGCTTTAGAGTCACCTGAGTTAGCAGATGCCTTTGTCTTATGGTCCATGCTCAGCTTTCTGGAAGCACTGGTATGATGAAATAAGTAAGGGAAACGGAATCCAAGACTGAGCTGGCTTCCTCCCTCCACTTACTGGCCGTGTGACCCACGGTAAACCCTAAAAGCACCTGGGCCTTGGGATCCTCATCCACACACAGGACAAAATGCTTCCTGCCACTCAGCAGTTAGGAGCTGTGTGTCAGGAGAGGTGACTGTAACAGCTGAGGACAGAGGAGGCTGCTCTGTCCCCTCAGAATCCCCACATGTCTGTGCGCACAAACCTGCAAAGGATTTGCCTCACATTTTAAAACAGGAAAACAGCCAGGCATGGTGATGCTGGCCTGTAATCACAGCCCTCTGGGAGGCTGAGGCAGGAGGATCATGAGTTCAAGCCCAGCCTGGGCAACTTGGCAACTTAGTGAGATTGTGTCTTAAAATTTAAAATACAGAGGGCTGGGGATGTAGCTCAGTGTGAAGGCCTGGGTTCAGTCCCAGTGCCACCAAAACCAAAAAACAAAAACAAAAAAACAGAAAATATGTTCATTACTGTAGTTGTTCAGAAACAGATGCATAAACAACACAAATCTGAATTTTATCACTGAAGCAACAATACTTACAGCTATAACCCGGTAACCCCATCCAGTCAAAGCCAAAATCTGCCGGAAAAATACATCCGCCGTTCCACTGACAGGAGGCAGAAATATGAGAGGACACCTGATGTTTCTGGGACCCGCATCGTAGAGCGACCATATTTTACTGTCATCATCATCTACGATAATCTGCAGAGAAAGTTACAAGAAAAAATGGACCACCTCATGGATCTGGTTTTCATGTTGTTAGTTTACACAATTTTACTGACAACTTTACTGCTGCTGCCTTACACAAGGTAATCTGAGATCACAGATTAGCTTGCACAATCAACTGGTTTGGTTTCCTGTTCTTTCTTAGTGCTAACAGATTCCACAGAACTGCTTTATAAACTTCCTTTGGGCTGTTCCTTCTCTTGGTTTTTAATTTTCCTGTCCAACCTTGATAACAGGAAAAGTCTACTTTGTTTGCCATTAAACAGTAAACTCTGTAAATGGCATCTCATTTCTCCCCACAGTTCTGGCTGCCTGTGTGCGTGCATATGTGTGTGCGTGTGTGTGCGTGCGTGTGTACAAAGAGGGCATTTGCAGAGTCAGAGTCAGTCTCTGTGGCGCTGGCTCAGGACTAGCTGGATCAGCAGGGCAGGGGAGGCCCAGAAAGAAGCTGGGTAGAGACAGCCCTGGCCCAGGAGATGTCTCAGGACCCTGATCAGAACCAAGCTTCGGGGTAGGAGGAGGGAGATGCATGTCTCACTGCCCCAGGGGAACGCTTCAACCATTCCACGTGGGTTGGGGAGTGGACACAAGGAAAAGCTAGTTTGGGGGGCAGAGGAGGGAGACAAAAGGCTTAGAAATCTTCCTGATCTTGCGGTTCTGAACCCTCGAGGGAAAAAGGTGAGCAGGACACGCACGGACGAGTCAGGTGCTCAGCAGGTGTTCAGTGGCCAGCATGGGTCAGCTATGATGACCATGCACCACATGAACATCTGCCAATTCAAACCAATACTTATCCACTTTTATACTGAAAAAAACCAAGGCCTCTGGGTGCTCTGCTATGAGAGCTGCGAGCTAGCAGTGCCGGGGACTCCATGGGGCCACTCGGTGGGGAGCAGCACACCAACCAGGGCCGCTTCTGTCACCGGGAGCAGACAAATGGGGCAAGGCAAAGTCCAGAGAGGCCAAACGATTTCCCTTTGGACTTCCTCGGGTTACAGATGGTGACGATATATCTCATGCTCAAGTTTTTGACCTTTGCATTCTGCCCTTTACAGTTTTGCTTTTCATCTTTTATTTTGTTATAACTGTAATTTAAAACAACAAAACCCAAAAAGCTCTTATATGACCTTTGACAGTGCAAAAAACAACAAACCCCAATCCTGTAGTAGTAAAATAAGACCATCACATCTCTAAAATAGTTTAGGGAATTATTTCAACAGTCCAGGCTGGAAGAAAACCACAAATAGAATGTTCTGAAATAATATGTTCTGAAAAACGACACAGAAGATGGTTCTAAACAGAAGTCATAAATACTTAAATGTGTTTATCTCTACAACTTTCTCAGAGTTCCTCTAGAAAACACAGTACAGTATCTGTTTGATAATTTAAAACTGAGCACCACAAAATTATGAGCCTGACTTGTGGACCAAACTGACTGACAGCTGGAAAAAATTACATAAGCGAAACTACTTCCTACAACTACTCGTAAGAATATTTAGGTAAGTTTGGGTATTTGGGGTCTGGTGATTACACTGCTGACAGAGGCCATCAAGAGGAACTTATCTACCAGGCTTAGTGGTGCACGCCTCTAATCCTGGCTACTCAGGAGGCTGAGGCAGGGGGATCGGAAGGCCTGGACAATTTAGTGAGACCCTGTCTGGATAGATAGGATGGATGGATGGATGGATGGATGGATGGATGGATGGATAGATGGATAGACGGATAGACAGACAGAAAGATAGATATATAGGCTGGGGATGTAGCTCAGCAGTATCTGGGTTCAATCCCCAGCACAGCCACATACACAAACACAAAAAGTTGATTATATGTGACAACAGGAAAGGGGTGAACTTTATGTTCTGTAACCTGAAGTCAGAATATTGGTAAAAATCTTTATTTTCATATTCTTGGTACAGTAACTTTGAGTGCTGGGATGGAATGCAGGGCTTCATGAAGGTTAGGCAAGTGCTCTACCACTAAACCACATTCCCAAACATTACTAAGGCACAGCTCTAAGTCATGCACAGAAACAACACAAGATTTTACAAATAAGAAGTATAGCAAAACTATACATACCTTTTTAAGGGGAACTGTACTTCTAAACCAGTTATAATCAGGAGAGACTTTAATCTCTCCCATGATTAGCTGAAATGGAGGTTAACCCTGAAATAAAAGCAAGTCATGAATTCGTTTACATCAGAACTAAACATAGAGGGTGGTCTAGCTTTACCAACAATACTTTAAAACCAAAGAAATGGGCCATTTTACCTTGTCAGTATACACTTAAACTACAGAAAACAATCTGATGAAATACTATAATCACAGAGCCAAGAGAAATAATTACTACAACCCCTTTAGTTCCTTCAGAAGAGGAATCTAATCTAGAAAATTTAAACGACTTACTACCCTGGATCACATGGCTAATACGAACTAGGACCAGACACAGGAATCCTTCCTGACACTATACTGCCTATCCCCGTTACACGACTGGCAAGTGCAGTACCGTCACCTTTTGACATGATCTTAAGAACAGATTTTAATAAAGATATTCCTGTCTCATTATAGGCAACAGTCCATGCTAAAGAAAGGAGTTAAAATAAGCCTGTTTCCTAATAAATTCACAATATGCCATAAATCTAACTCATGGAACATAACTTCAGACTCTCACATGTAGTTCTTAATATAATACACTAGCAAATTTGGCATTTTTGGTGATATGATTAAACATTACCTAAAAGCCACTCTGGAAGATCAATGATATAAACTGGAAGTCACTAAAACTAGCAATAAAATATTTGTCTTTAGGGGGAAAAATAGTGGACTTTTGTGAGTTTAGTGATTTCTAGTTTGTTTTGTTTGTGGGTTTTTTTAAGGGGGGAGGTATTTTATTTTAGGGTTTGGGGATTGAACCCAGAGCCCCTCATATGCTAGGCAAGCACTCTACCACTGAGCTGTACCCTCAAGCTGATTTCTAGCTTTCATAGCTCTGTGATCTTGGACAAGCCGAGATTCCCTTTGGGTTGGTTTCGTCATCTTCCCCAAAGCTCTATCCCCAAACCCTAGAATAGTGGCTGGCACTGAGCAGACATTATCTGTTGACAAAGTGAGCGCCTATGTCCTGAGGGGACTCAACCAGGCCCTCCTAGAGTCCCTCCTAATCCTGGCATCTGGGAACTCTGCACTGGATGAGCATCTGCAATTTAAAGGGTGCCCCTCTTTTTGCTCAGGTATCTATCTGTGTTATAACAGGAACCGGAAATTATAGTTCCTTATTTCAGATTCTTACTGTCAGCTGAGGAACTTCCATCCATCCACTTGGAAGGATACAAATACTTGTCTTGCACCGTGTCCTTCTACTGCATGGGCAAGCCTCAATTTCCTAGTGGAGGTGAGATAGTGAGACTCCAGGACTTCACTCCTGGGCTGACTCTGAACTGTCATCTTGGAAAAGGTTCTCTGGACTGGCAGGGAGCAGAGGACACGAAACTTGACGGAACTCTTCCTCTTCTTGGGGCCCTCCAGATCAGCCCCGACCGGGATGTAGGCCCTCAGCAATCTCAACTGCTACCTTGAGGGGTGACTAAACTAAACCCCCAGGAGACAATAAAGGCAGACATCCCAATATTTTATTTAATACTCTGACATCATAATGGTTCTTCTCTCCAAACTAAAACAGTTCCTTTGTTAAAATCTCAAGTTAAAGTACTAAGAAATTCATCAGCAATCTTATGCTGAAAACCAGTGTGCATAGATGTGGTTATCAGTCAAACTAAAAAGGAAATAGATCGTTGCATCATCCATTTTATCTTAAATATTAACGTTAAAAAATCTAAGCCATTTTAATCATGGTCTTTCTCTAAATTGATTGTTACTTTTAGATGAAAACAATTAACACACTGAGTTAATTCTAGAATATTTTCTATCTGGACAGACTTGAAATATTTCCATATCATCTAAACATTTCCTACTGGAGACCTTACTATTACTGTATTTTTAGAAACAATTACTACACGGAAAGGAATATAAAAAACATGTTAAGCAAATAAAATCTCAATTGATTTCTATAATGTCTTTCTAATCAAAGCTAGAAAGTTTGCTTTGAGAGTCAACAAACTTGGGATAAGAAATTATTCATAATTTTGGAATCTGTGGCAATGCACAAACCAAATCACACAGGCACATAGATTCACTTATTCATCCACTTCTCTCCCACAACAAGAAAAAGATGTTCCTCACCAAGTCTTCGGTACAATTCAACCGCCTCAGTAAAACAACACGTTACAGCTAATCTTGCTGGATAGAGCAATTCCACCCAGCTGTGACTAATTTTTTGCAGGGCCAAGTGATTGTTAACACTTGTGCTAGTTGGGCAGCAATGAAAGGTGAGACACACACCAAATGTTGCATCTGACCAGCTGACATTGAGGAGAAAAAAGGCTCAGTGCTGTGAAGGGAAAGCAGCTGTGAGTGGCATGAAAAGCAAAGTTTGTTCTCTCTTTCATCCGATAAAGGGCATACTTTTCCAAGTCACAAGAGTAACATTCTGTCTATGGCACAGAAGGTGAACTGAGATTGTGGCAAAACCGGCCAGGATGAAATATGCAGACGACAGATTAAGCACTGATGTGATCTCTTGTGATTCGGTTCTTCACAAAAACACCTGTTTGTGCTGGTGGGCAAAGGCCCAGAGAGATTAACCTTAATCTTAAGGAAACCCCTCCTCTGAGGGTGCTGCTGACTCCCTTCTACTGCTCGACAAGTGCCAGTTGTTAAGTCATGTCCTTCGGGGTTTCCAACAGATTCTGCTAGTTCACATTCATAGAAATCACCTTTACAAACATTTCAACCATATAACCAGCTTAAAGAGTCACGAGTTTCTGATCCTTTATCCCAAGCTACAGTTGATTTACATATGGGTAATCTGTCCTTATTAATAATACCTGCAAAAACAAAGTATCAGACCCCAAGAATCTCCAGGTAATACAGTATAACTGGGGGACTGGGGGGTTGTTTTTGGTGCCAGGGATTGAACCCAGAGCCTGAGGAAACTGCTAAGTGCACTTTTACCACTACACTACACCCCCAGCTCCATAACTGCCTTTTTAATCCAAGCTCCAGCCCTCCCACACCAACGTATAGCTATCCTTTTCTCAGTTCCCTTCAAGAAGATTTACCCCTTTTTTCCTTCATCATCTCTAAACTTCATGGGAAAAAAAACTGCCTATGTGACATCTCTCCTGTAACAGTTTTTCTTGAGCTCTTGGCATAAACACTTTCGGAAATCTGGACGCCGCTATTATGTTACTCCTCACTCTGCTGACTCTTTGTTCCAAGAGGAGCTGGACCATTGTAGGTGAGACAAAGAAGCTCCAAAAACCACTGACTTATAACTCCCCAGGAAAAGCGAGACATTCTGGCCCTGCTGCTTTTCTGAAGCCTCACACCTGGCCTGTACTCAGCAATGACAAAGACATTTGTTACTTTCGGGCTGACGTCCAATTTCCAAAACAACTGAGCTCTCCACACAGTTCTTAAAGTTTACTGAAATAAAACGTCCCCGGGCTACGGGCCAGAGGAGCCCCAGGATGCACGTACAGGGTGACGCCCTGATTAACCCTCCCGCACCCCTCCCTGCGCCAGCCAAGTCCCGTACTCGTCCCATCAGTGACAGCCACACAAAGGTAGGATCACAGGCACCCCGACTACCCCCACTAACCCAGACGTGCACACACACACACACACACACACACACACGGGTGAGCGATCACGTGCATGATCACAGGACCAGCCCATTTGTAGGCTATAGTCACAAAGTCACACCCGGCCGAGGCAGCCCCGCATGCTCCATACACACCCCCTACAACCCCGCACACCCACGCACTGGGTTCCTCGGGCCTCACCCACCCCTCACCTGCCGTAGCCACCCCCACGTCCCCTTCCCTCCTGCCGCGGGCAGCTCCGGGGTGCAGCTCCAGCACGGGTGGCACCGGCGGCCGGAGCGGAACGCCGAAGACCCGTAGGCGGTGGTGGGGACGCGTAGCAGGCCGGCCTCCGGGGGCGGGGCGCGCGGCCGAGCTGCCCAGGCCGCCGCGCTCCCTCCTCCCAGCCGTCCGATCCCGCTTCCGGGTTCGGAAGGGGCGGGGCCGCGTCGCGAGGAAGGGGCGGGACTGCGTCTGGGCAGTCACTATGGCGATCGCGAGGGGCGGGGCCTAGGATGGGAGACTTCTGGCGCCCAGAGGGCTACGGTGAGTGACCGGGCAGCGCTGGAAGAGGTTCGAGTCACACGTGTGTCAGCTCCAGCTCACCTGTCTGATCTGGGCACCCAGGAGGAAGTTACGGCTGTGAAAGAACGAGGCGCTTTCCCGGGCATGGTGGTGCACACCAGAAATCCCAGCACTAGGGAAACTGTGGCTAGAGGATCGCTGCGATTTCGAGGCCAGCCTGGACTACATAGTTGAGACCCTGTCTCAAAAAAACAAAAAATAACTAAATAAGTAAAAATGGGGGCTTGGCCCCTGTGGACCTTCTGCCTTCAGCTTCTCATAGAAAGCTTTAGGGGAACCTTTAGGTTCCGAGCTTTGATAAATCGGGCTATTTTCTTGGCACGATCCACCCCCCCCCCCCCCCCCCCCCTTGGAATAACCATTAATGTCTTCCTCATTTTTCCTCCCTGAGTCCCCACTTTCTTTTTCAGTTTTTTTCTTTCTCATGCGTGGGGGGGGGGGGGCGGTCCTGAGAACAAACTCACGTGTCTCCTTCCTTAGCACTAGGCTTGACCTCAGACATACATCCTTTTCCTGTGGCGCAGAGAAATTAATACGTTTATAATCATTGTTCTTAAGCACGACGTTGCAGGCGTCAGTTCTCCTTTTTTCAGTAAAACATTTGCACGTATAAGTTTGAATAACATATAAATCTTGTTTGAAGTTTTTTAAGACTCCTGCAACAAGGTCCTGTTGGAAGTGCCTCTCCCTAATGTTTTAGGGAAAGCTTATACCCCGTTAAAAGGCCTGTAGACTTTGCCTGTACCCAGGCAACTGTTTATGAGATTGAGGTTAGAGGAGATGCCAGTTAAACTTTGTCCTTAGTCATGACCCCTACCCTGTGGTTCAGGAGTCTTTAATTCTAGTCTAGAACTTGGACAACTCTAAAATGCTTTCCCAGCAGCATGGGTGAGATATGCACCTATTTTTTTTTTCCATGTCACCTCTTTAGGAGCTGTGAGTCAGTCATTGGAAGTGATCTTGGTAGTGGGGGCTGAACCCACAGTCTTCACATTGAGCTGCAATCTCTAGCCCTTTTAAAATTTTTTCATTGTAATACAGGGTCTCACTAAATCACAAAGTTGTCCAGCTAGACTTGAATTTACAATCCTCCTGCCTCAGCCTCCCAGAATGTTGGAATTATAGGCTTGTGCCACTGCATTCAGCCAGGAAGTGATACTGTATTTTAGCACAGCATACTAGACATGACTGAAAAATATGGTGAATGTCTAAAATTTTTTTAAAGTATTACAGTAAAAGACATAGTGCCATCAATTTTCCTTAAAATACTCCTCCTACCTTTGAACACACTTATCCCATCATTCTTGACACTTTCTGAAGCAGTTTGTAGAAGTCTTTTGTTGTGCTGTCTTGGCTGGCTCTATGTCCTAAATCAATTCAAAACATTTACCTTTCCTGGTCATTGTGACTTTGGGAAAGAGCCAGAAGTCACAGTCCTAGATCTGGTGAATAAGGTGGACGAGGTCACACTATAATATTTTTACAAGCCTGCCTTTCCATTGGATGGCACTTGGCAGCAGCATTCTCTGTATTTTTGGTCATACCTCATAAAGACCCTCACAAAAGAGGATTTCCAGAGCTGCTTCAGAAAGGGGCAAGAATGATGGGATAAGTGTGTTTGAAGCAAGGAGATATTTTCTTTTTTTTTTTTTTTTTTTGGTTCGGAGATCAAACTTGGGTCCTTGTGCTTGCAGGACAGGCGACAGAACCACTGAGCTAAATCCCCGGCCCCCGGAGATATTTTCAATGAGTCTTTTACTGTAATAACTTTTTATAATTTAAACATTTATTTTGTATTTTGATCACCCCTCACAGGTGCATGAGGCATGTTAAAGATATTAATGTTGGGAAACTTTTCTCAAAAACCTGGAATAGTTTAACAAGTGGAATAACTGCAAATCGTTTAGTGGGTGGAATAACTGTCAAGCCACTGGGTGGTTGTAACCCATTATGTAGGGCTGAGGATGTGGCTCTGTGGTAGAGGACTTGCTTAGCCAGTGTGAGGCCCTGGATTCCATCCCCGCAGAAAGAAAGAACCATTGTGGACACTCTTGACACTGGTTATCTATCTCCCTAGGTGGACTGGGAGCTTCAATATAGAGCAAAGAGAACAGAGTGACCAATCCATGTCTTAGCACATCATCTGGCCCATAAATGTGTGCTGAGTTAATAAGTGAATAAATAAATCTATCCACATCTATTCCTAAAACTCTATTTCTTAGACCCCACACCCCTAACCCTCATTTTCATAGCACCCTGGTAAGAAGACCAAAACCATGGACATACCCCCACCCCATACAGATAAGAAGTCTTAGTGTGATAATAATTTTTTTGCTTAACTGTTAATAAAGTCACAATGTAGACATGTTTTGTTATATATTTTACCACAATGTAAAAGGCCAAAACAAAAATGACTATTTTGTTTCCCTTTTAAAAAGGCCCGCATGGTCATGTCTGTGCCCTCAGTTGTTCGATAACACGTGGGAAGCACATTGACCACTCCCCAGCCCCAACAAGGAACCTTTCATAGCTGCGATTCCAGCTGTCTTGAAATGCACAAGTGCAGGCAGCAAGCTGCTGCCCCGGACAGGCAGACCTGGTGGGCAGAGTACTAGGAATCTGCAGCTGTCCCGACTGGAGTATGCCAGCTGGCTCCCACAGCACCTCATCCCGTGTGAAAACCTCCCTAAAAACCTGGAATGTTCACAGATAATGCCGTGAACACCAAGAAAGCAGGGGGCCAACTGGCCCCACTGCCTAAACCCAAGTTCTGTCCCTCTTGAGTTTTTGGCGATAATTATTTTAAAACACTCTAGCAAAATAATCCTAGACAGATCTCTCTGCATGTATTTACATACATGAATGTACTACTTTCTATGTTGAGAAAGATAAATACAGACCTGAGCACACCTCAAGGTCTCTACACGGCTATCCATGGGCCCAGTGGGCTGTGGCCATGCTAACTGCTCGTGAAGCCCCCAGCAGCCCACGGTGTCTCAGGCTCCGAGACTTTTGGACAAGCCCTTCCCTCCACCTAGACTGCCTCCCTGCCTTGGAGTCAAAGGAGTGAATTCCCCTCTCTCACTCCCAGGAACCATGCATGTGTGAAAAAGTGACAGAGAAACACTAGGTTTTTCAGACTAATGCCAATTCAATTCTTATAATATCCTCTTAAAAGCTTCCCACAATACAACTGACTGCAGTGTGAACCAAATCATGCAGAGCCTCAGGGTTTAAAAAAAAAAAAAGAACACTGCTTCCTCCTCACCAGACCAAGTCCACGTCACACTGCATGGATTACAGGGCTTGGGCACAGAGGGGCATCCTGAGCTGCCTGGGAAGGATGCTCCCAAGGCAGTGCTATAGCTTGCAATGTAAAGGCCTTATCAAAGAAGATACATGTGATTATTTGTAATTAAGAATTTATTAGTTATCACCTGGGAGTTAAGAAAAGTGCCTTCTATCCTTGGGCGAAGGATTCTCTCTCTCTCTCTGCCCCTGATTTCTTCCCTTGTAAAATGAGCTCAAGGCTGGACTAAATATCTAACTTTTTCCAATTCTGAGATTTTAGGTTCTATAAATTTTGAGAGATATTAAAGCATCTTTACAACAGCCTTTCCTCATAGCTGCTCTTCTGTAATGATCCTCCTTTTCTAACTCCCAAACTTAAAAAAAAAAGGGGGGCCTGCGTACAAAATGCCTATTCATCGGAAATAGGTTTTTTTCCTTTTCTAGTGCTGAGGATTGGACCCACAGCCTCACACATGCTGAGAAAGTGCTCTGCCAGGGAGCTACACTCCCAGCCTTGGAAACAGTATTTTTGCTTCTTGGAAAAGAACGTTTGTCCATTATTGACGTTTGGGGGCCAGTGGTGAGGACTAAACTTCACACATACTAAGCATGTTCTCTATCTCTGATCTATAAACCCCAGGTCTTTTAACTTTTTTAAAATAAAAATTTCTAAGCAAAAGAACCACATCTTGAGCCAGGGATTTAGCTCAGGGGTTCCACAGCCTGCCTCACAAGCACAAGGTCCTGAGTTCGATCCCAGGTACCAAAAAAAAGAACCACATCTTTTTCATCACCTGCCAATCTAGCATCCCACTGATGTTTCAACAAGGTGAACAATGGTGTAAATAATGAATAAACAAGAACAGAGAATCTACCTTGGGAGGAAGAGCTCTAATGAAAAATCTTGGAGAAGAGGTCCCATAATGTTTTACCTCAAAAGACAGCAGCTTCTACACCTGTAAAGTTCTAGAAAACTTGGTGAATGTTTGAGGTAAAAAAGACAGTGATTAACTAAAATAAGCTTTTTGAAATTGTGTGGCATAGTGCTTGTGTATAATGAGTGCTTAATTAATGTGCTCCCATTTCTTCATTCCTGAGCACCAAAGCCTAGCACGTTAAATTCATTAAAGATAGAAACATTTGCAGGCAGAGGCATGGTAGTAGAGTGATTGGACCCACAAACTTGAGTCAGATTATCAGAGTGTAAATCCCAGCTCCACCATTTACTAGCCATTTAAAATTCTGAAAAACTGAAGGCCAATTCTGCTTTCACAGGGACATTGTAGATAAAATGAGATAGTTCAGGCCAAGTCCTAAGAAACATGGCAAGGACTCAATTAATAGCTAATTATAATAATGGTAATAAGCTAATAATAATGGTATTAAGGACCTAGTCTGAGCCTGGTGTGGTGCTACACACCTGTAATGCCAGCTACTCAGGAGGCTGAGGCAAGAGGATCATGAGGTCTCATTTCATCATCTCTACACAAAAACAAGCATTTCCTCCTGTCCAAAGCATCCCCATGAGCTGATACTACTCCCACTCAGAGAAAATACTGTTGGAGGCCTAAAGAAGGAATGACAGCTGGACTAGACTGTAGTAATGCATTTAGCAGGGCTCTCCAAAAAAACGGGATAGTAAGGAAGAGGCTCATATGATTGTGGAGTCTAAACCTCAAACCTGCAGTCAGCACACTGGAAATCCAGGAGAGCTGACAGAATAGTTCCAGTCTGAAGGCTGGCAGACTCCAATCCCAGGGACAGGCTATGATGTTAGCTCAAGTCTGAAAGCAAGGAAGTAACTGATGTCCCAGTTCAAAGGACATCAAGCAAGGGGATTCCCACTTAATCACCCTATCTCCAGCTGATTAGACAAGGCTGACCCACATCAGGAGGTCATTCTGTGACTCTTGGTTCACCCATTCAAATATTAATCTCACCCAGAAACATCCTCAGACACACCCAGCGTGTTGGACCAAACAAATGGGCACTCTGTGGCCAAGTCACATAATATTAACCATCATAGGTGACAATGACAACTACCACTTACTGATCATCTCCTAGGTGCCAGCCACTTCCCCGAGCATTTTCTACACACATTACTGTTCTGCAAGGCAGGTATTACCCATGTTATTAACTGATAAATCAGAGTTTTACACATTTAAGAAACATATCCTCAGTCACTCAACTAGCAATTAGCAACAGAACTCAGTTCTGAGTCTGATGCAAAGCATCAGCATCTTGTTACAGGACAAGAACCTAAAGAAGAGACATTGTGTTTGCAAATCTGTGCTTCACTGGAGCACAGTAGGCTTTCTCCTATCTTCTTGGGAGGAGTCTGGACCCAGGGGCCAATGTGTGGCTCAGATTCACACAAACCTCTCCATCTGGTTAACACCATAACTGCTCTAGAGCCAAGTATGGTGGTGCATGCCCATAATTCAGGAAGCTGAGGCAGGAAGATCTGAGGCCAGACTATGCAACTTCATGAGACCCTGTCTCAAAATAAAAGGCCTGGGGGTGTAGTGCAGTGGTAAAGTGCCTGCCTACCATGGGTGAGGGTCTGAGTTCAATCCCCAGTACTGAAAAAACAAAACAAACAAACAAACAAAAATCCACTCTTACTGCTGTAGTACCAAAGTTATTTGATGAGTATAGTAATACATGGAGTGCTGCATCCAGACATTCTGATTTGAGATCTGCAGTCGAGCCCAGGAGTCCACTCCAGGTGCCTCTGGCTGACAGCAGCCCTACTCAGTCACTCTGGGTTATGTTTTCCACAGGGGCCTGAATTCACTATGTAGCTTGGGCTGATCTCGACCTCACAGCAAACCTCTTGCCTCAGCCTGCCAAGTGCTGGGATTACAGGTGTGTACCTTCACATCTAGCTTTTTCATGGTCTTTTTGACTTCGGGGAAGATACACAAGTCACAGGGTGCAAGACCTGGTGAATAAGGTGGATGAGGACACACCGTCATGCTTTTATAAGTCTGCCTTTCTGTTGGATGGCATTCAGCAGCAGCATTTGCTGTACTATTTATCACACCTCAAAAAGACACTCAGGAAAGAGGACTTCCAGAACTGCTTCAGAAAGTGGCAAGAATGATGGGATAAGTGTGTGTTGTTTTGTTTTGCTTTGGGATAAGTGTGTTTGAAGCAAGGAGGAGGATTTTGAGGGGGATTAATGGCAACATGTATTTTACTGTAATAACTAGTCACACTTATCAATCATATTTTATACTTTCTCAGAGAATGGGCTGCCAACTTGAGGATGACATTTCTATACCTGGTGTTTATTCTGCTGTCCTAGGATGGGCTTGAATGTCCCTGGAGGGGAAACTGCATCCTACATGATGGGTCTCACTTCCAGATTTCCAGTGTCTGAACAGTATTCCATTTAGTCCTAGATATACCAACCATGCCAATCAGCCTCTCACTTAGAGGGGTTTCAAGCCACATTCTTTGTAACCAAGAGCCAACTTTACACTTCAAGATTCCTGGTTTCACTAAATCCTTTGGGATTCCAGCTAGCATTCCAAAGATGCTATCCTTGCTGAGGCTGTCACCCTAACTGGGGAACAGGAAGGCAGAAATTTCCTCAGGCACTGCAAATGGGGCCTAGCCTTTCCTGGGTCACAGCTCTGGCAGTGAGGGTGTCACCTAAGGGCTGGTGTGTTAAAGGCTTGGTCCCCAGCACTACTAGGAAGTGGCAGAACTTCTGGGAGGTAGGACCTCGTTGGAGAAAGGTCATTGGTGGGTGGTACACTCTTCCTTTCCTTTTTCTCTTTGCTTCCTGGCCACTATGAGGTGAAGAATTTTCCTCCACCGTGTACTCCCACTATGATGAACTGTGCTGCCACAGGCCCAAAGCAACAGAGCCAACTGCCGGAGATTTAGCTCAGTGGTTCCGGCATCTCCTTTGCAAGCGCAAGGTCCCGAGTTCAATCCCCGGTACCAAAAAAAAAAAATAGCAACAGAGCCAACTGACCATGGATGGCACCCCCAGGAATCATGAGCTAAATGCAGCCTTTCCTCCTTGTAGCTTGTTTATCCCAAGTATTTTGCCATAGACATGGAAAGCTAACAACACATGCTCCTTAGACTCCTGCAGCAATCACTCCCAGAGGCCAAAGAGTCCATTGATTTCTCCAGCAGGAATATAAGCCTGAAGGGGACTAAGTGCTCGATATAAATCAAGTATGAAACAGGAACGCACTTTCACGTGGTCTCTGATTCTTTTTTTTTTTTTTTTTTTTTGGTACTGGGGATCAAACTTGGGACCTTGTGCTTGCGAGGCAGGCAGCGGAACAACTGAGCTAAATCCCCAGCCCAGTCTCTCACTCACTGATTCATTTTGGCTTTAAAAAAAAAAATCACCAACCCCATTTCACATTTGGGGAAATAAAAGTTCAGGGAAGTTCAGGGATTTGTCCAGAGATCAAAGGGCTAATAAATGGTGCTGCTGAAAGTCTCCATAAGAACTTTATATCCAATGCCTCTCACCCCATGGCAAAAATCTTCTAAATTGTTTTTCCCTACCCTCACACCTGCTGTTGTAGTCCAGATCTTCACTTTTCTAATCTCCCAACACAGCTTCCAGCCCAGGTCTTAACCTCGATCTCTCTTCCACACCACTCTGAAAGTTAACTTTCCAAAATGCAAATCTGGTCATCTCCCTCTTCAGTTAAGTCAATCACATGAACAACGAAGGCACATGCTCTTAGCATTCAAAGTTGTCTGTGACCTGGCCTCAGCTTCCTCTTCCAGTCTCATCGCTATTGTCCTAGTCCGTTCCTATCCAGCCTGCAATCTTTTTTCAAAAGAATGTGCTCCTTTTGTTTCTATGTTTAACATGTCATTTGTTTCTCTCCCATGATCCACTGTCAGCTTTCCCCCAGGCAGCTATATATACAATGTAAGTATACAACTAGCTCATAAATAACAATTCCAGGGTATAAAAAACAGCAATACAAGAGCAGTCTGCTTCCCTCACTCACCAGCTGAGGAATCACATCACTAACGCCCCTTGTGAGACAGTGCTGTTTCCTACATTTGGTGGTGTGTTCCTGTAATCCCAGCATTCAGAAGACTGAGGCAGGAGGACCGCCTCAAGTTAAGGCCAGCCTGGGCTACACAGCAAACTCAAGGTCAGTCTAAACTACACATCAAGACCCTGTCTCAAAAAGTGCTCAATACAAACAAAAAGAAGATAGTGCTCTTTAAAGTCTCTATGCCTCTACCCAGGCTAGGCTGCCATTCCAGGCCTTAATCTGCCTAGTAAATTCACCCTCCAGAGCCTGAGTTTACCTCCTGTGGATAGCTTCCACTGACTCCTGGAGGGACATTAGCGCTTCCATTATATGTTCTTTGTGGCACTTGTAACCGTGGATGTGTTCATCTCTCCACTAGGCTGTTAAATATTTAATCTCTGAATCTCTAGCAATCAGCATGGAGGCCAGTTACACAGCACATACTCAACAACCAAGGTGTCTACACTGCCCAGTTTGTTTGGGAGAGTCCTGCCTTTACCTGCTGTGCTAGAGGAATTATCCTAAATGCTTCTTGTTACTCCTGACAGTGTCCTAATTTAGATGACCAATTCTGTGATCACCCTACCAATGAACATTGTGGAATGAATAAATTTAATGAGTGGAGAAAGATTTCAGCTGACAGAATCTAGGCAGGAAAAGCCGACATATAAAGACTCTCAAACCAAGCTTCAGCAGTGGCCATTCCAACTGCTTCTCCTCCACAACTGCTTTCCTGGACACACAGAAGATGGGCTGGCAGACTGGAAGCTCTGTAACTTTCGATGCAAATAAGATGAAAAGTGTTACATCTTCCTACTGCAAGAAAGCTCGGGGTTATAATGTGAATTTATCACAGAGATTATTAAGCATCATGTGTGTTTACTATTTGATGAGACCTAGATGGCAGAGGAATTTAAAGTGCTGACTTTACTAATTAATGAAATTTAGAAATGCAGATTAGATCTTCCTCAAATGATAACATAACCTATGGGGGCATATCCTTTAAAAATTCAACAGATGCACCACCATTTATTTTTTTTTAAAAAAGCCCTCTCCATACCAGTTAGGAAACATATACATACCAGTCAGGAAAAATATTATCTTCTTAAATGTGACATTATAAATACAAATTTTATTTAAACTTCTTTTGTTATTTAATTAGAAAAGGACACTTTTAGTGACTATTAAACAATAAAATGGAAAGTGAAGCTATCCATCTTTTTGACAAAAATCTCCTCTTTCTCCAATAGTGTCATCTTCTTTGAAAGTCAAGGTAGTCCCTTCTAAAAAGGCTTTTTACAAATTACAAATATGTAATAAAGCCTTACCCACCCTCTTCCTAACTACTTAATGCAAGGCTGCACGCCAACACTTTTTTTCCTGCTTCTTCTTTGGAGGAAGTCTGAGAGTCTGAAATCTGCAATGGCTCGGTTGAACCTGGGAATTTCTCTGGTACCACGGGTGCAAATATCCATTGTAGAAATCGGTAGCTGTAAGTGTTTTCTTAAGCATTACTGATCGGACACCAATCCAGCCATCCTAGGGGAGAAAGGACAATAGCGACCAGGCAGTGGTGGCAAAATAGGAAAACTAAGTAAATTCAAGTTCTTAAAATTTTTATCATGGAAACAAATCAACAACCCTTCACTAAGTGCCTAACTGCAAAGAGCACTTTACAAGTGACATATACAATCCCTTGACTCTAAAAGTTTATTACCAAGGAGAGACAGCAAATACACAGACCTGTATAAACCTGCTTCAACATACAGGGAGTAGAGTAAAAAGCTGTTCATTTGCATGGCACTTCACAGTTTCCAGAGTCTGTCTGTGTATCTTACTGTGACTGGTCATGAAAACAACAAATCTAAAAGGCATCAGACCCAGTATTGTCCCCATTTTAGAAAATGAAACTGATGACCACAGCAGGTGGGTGAATTTTTTCTAAGGTAACACAACTGGCCAGACTCAAATTCACACTTGAATCAGCTTGATTCTTTTATGAGAGCAAACTGCAGACAAGAAATACATACAGACCCAGATGAAGAGGGCAAAAGAGATGCACCCAACACTGTTTCAGGAGAGGCTAAGAAAGACAAGGAGACATTCTCCGTCTCCAGGGCCTGCAGGTCAGATCAGTCTAGCACACATTTTTAAATCCCCCTTCTTGCATGTGCAACATCTCATATGAACATCACGACAGTAAAAATCTAGGAAATGGAAGGAGGGTAGAACACTTCTCAGGGACACATCACTGACTTATGAAACAATGGTTCCAGTCATTTTAAATCATTCAGAAATCTTCTACTGGTGAGCAGGAAAAGCAAGTAGTATACATGCCATGTAGTAATTCAGCCAGATACTTTGTGATGATTGTCTTTTTTTTTTAATCAAGTACAAAATTAGATTACTAAAAATAAAAAAGTATGCTAGACATTCTACTGCTTAAGAAATTTAAACTAGCCCAGCGTGCCGGCACATGCCTCTAATCCCAGCACTCGGGAGGCTGAGGTAGCAGGATCATCACAAGTCTGAGGCCAGCCTGGGTTACACAGAGTTCAAGGACAGCCTGAACTACACAGTGAGACCTTGTCTTAAGAAAAAAATAATAAATTACGGTTCTGATAAGCAGCCAGTTCAGTAAAGTCCTAATGATATGAACTATTAACTCAGTAAAACAAATATGACTAATTTGAAACTAAAGGAAAAGGTACCTTGCAACAGACCAGCAGCATCTGTGACTGTTTGTGGTATACTACTGATCCTGGAACAGCAGCCTGTCCTGGTAAATTGGGATCTGAAGAATGGCGGGGGGGGATGATATAAAACAGAGAGAGAAATTAGTAATTATGTAACTTCACGGTACTTTTTTTAAAATATGAAAATAAGGGCTGGGGATTTAGCTCAGTGGCACTGCGCCTGCCTTGAAAGCATAAGGTCCTGAGTTCAATCCCCGGTACCAAAAAAAAAAGAAAACTTCTTGGGAGGCAGTCCCCATACTGGAAACGTCATTTATGTGCTGATGTCCTGACTTCGTAATTCAAACCCAAGATGGAGCCATGGCACTCTGTGTACGTCTCAGGCCCAAAGGAAGGTGCTCCATACACACTTGAAGCTACCAGCCCTTCACCCAGTCTCCCAGTGATCAGCTAACATGCTCAGTCTACAAGTTCTGTGTTGCCATGTAAGGGGAAAACCCACCCACCATGGATGGGTTTAAGGATGCTAGGACCTAAGCTGGCCTTCCATGCCCACCCGAATAAGCTCCGATTCCTAGGCTCCTGGGAGCTCCAACAACCTCCAGGTTGAACCAGCTCCCTCTGTGGCTCATCCCTCTTCCTCACCACAGTGGGAGCACCGACAGGTCTCAGAAGGAGCCGCAGCATGGAAAGCTACATTCGGTCCACACTCTCCCTACCAGATATTTTCATTATGGTATTCACCAGGATGAAATTAACCAAGTCATCCTGCAAACCTGGAAAACCTTAATGCAGGAAATCGCAGCTTAAAATGGGACAGGAATACTGCTCTGCCTACTTCCCAGGTTCTAATGATAATTAAATGAGAAAATATATGTGAATGGCTTGTTCTCTCCAAAGAATAAGGCAATAAGTGAATGTTATGTGTGATCACAATAGAACCGAACAAACTATAAGAATGCTTATTTTTAGTAAATGTAACCGATGGTAAAAACAGACATATTATCAAATAAATTATGGTGAAAACATCTTCCATGTCAGCTATTCAAAAGTTAGTACCAGCAAGGACTGAACTGTTAACTTCTACCAAATCCAAGAGTTTAATGGCGTTCTCCATCCAGAGTGTCTGCAGCGGAGTCTGCAAGTAAAATTAAAGAAGGAATGAAAAGGACTGCACTCCCTCCCCAAACCCTTCTCAACCACTGCTGCGTGTTAATCTGGCCTGGATCTCTCCCCACTGACAGAGGAACTGGGAATCCATCAAGAAATTTTGAGGAACAGAACATAAACCGGACCTTCTACATCAGTCTTTCCAGGATTTTTAAGACTGTAAACATTATTTTATAATCAAGCTTCCTGTCTTTATTACTATTTCCAATTAACCACTTATGCTTATCATTCAAGCATTTGTTACACCATTATTTTACATCATGTATGTTATACCATTACAGCATTTATGTTAAAAAATTTAGAAAGTGATACTATTCTCAGCCCCAGAGGCAACCACTATTAACAGTTCAATGTACATTTCCTTATATTTTTTGTATTACAAAAATCTAGAATGTATTGTTTTATAAGGAACTTTTGTTACTTAACCATAGCCATGGACATGGACAAGTTCTGATCACTACACACTTACCTACTTCACCCTGCATCTACTGCACAGTGTCCCATTTTAAGACCGTATCATCACTTAGGCAACCAACTCCTTAATAGTTGGATACTCCAGTTAGTTCCAATTTCTTGCTATTGTGGACAATTTCTTGCTATTATAAAATTATAAACTAATGGTAATAAATAGCCTTATAGATATATCTTTGAATATTTATACATTTCTGAAGAATAATTTTTTTCTAGGGTCGGCCAATGCTCTACCACTGAACTACATTCTTCACCCCAGTAGTTTATCTTGTTTCTTTAAGTAGAATGCCTGGGTTAAAGAGTATCACATTTATCTATTGCTATCTATGATTAGTGAGGCTGTCGCGTATTTACTTGCACTTCTAATATATTTATCTATAAGCTGTTTATTTATACCATTTGCCTATAATATTTTAAGAGGCAAAAAGGAATTTATTAGGTAGAATTTAAAAAGTCAGGGCCGGGGATTTAGCTCAGTGGTTTAACTGCCTGCTGCGCAAGCACAAGGACCCGAGTTCGATCCCCGGTACCAAAAAAAAAAAGTCATTAGCCCATATTTTTAAAAACTGGCTCTTATTATTCTATGAAAACCTTTTCCATATTTAGGAAATTAACCTTTTAATTCTTATGGATATTTTTCCCAATTTGCTGACTTTAAGAGTCTTGGGGAACAGTCATTTTTTTTTTCCATGCATAAGCCTTTTATTTTTATGGAGTTACATTTTTCAGTCTTCTCTCTCATGACTTAAGCAGTTCATATTATGCTTAAGAAGCCCTAGCTATACTTTAAGATTATTAAGTATTGTAAAATTATTCAACTATGCTTTCATCCAGTCCTTGTGGTTTCATTTTTTATAAGTAAACTCTTGATCTATCTAGATTTTGATTTTTTTTATTGTGGTAAAACACACACAACATGAATTCTGCCCTATTAACAAATTTTTGGCACACAGTATTGTTAACTACACCACTGTACAGCAGTTCCTAGGGTTTTAAAAGGCAGGATTTGGGGGTTTCCCCTCAATGGCTAGCCAGTTGTCCCACTGCTGTTCACTGGACAGTCTATCTCACCCTTGGCCCAGTGCGAAACAGTATCTTTTTCACTTAACACATGTCCCACACCTGTAATCCTAGACCTCGAATCAACTACATTCATGAAGATTAACACAAACTGGGTGTGGGTGCATGCCTGCAAAGCCAGCACGCCGGGAGGCTGATGCAGGAGAACTGAAGTTTGAATCCTACCTAGATAACTTAGGGAAACCTTGTCTAAAAAAAGGGGAAGCGGGCTGGGGATTTAGGTCAGTGGTGCTGCTGCCTGCCTTGCAAGTACAAGGCCCTGAGTTTGATAATCAGTACCACAAAAAAAAAAAAAAGAATCTCATTATAGCCCGGTGTGGTGGTGGCATGCCTGTAATCCCAGCACTTGGGAGGCCAAGGCAGAAGGATCACTGAGAGTTCAAGGCCAGCTTGGGCTACATAGTAAAACTCTGTCTAAAAAAAAAAAAGGATCTGATTATAAAAAAAACTTCAGATTTCCTACGTTTAGTTTATGAGATGCACTCTTGAATAAAAATGTTCAGAAAGCAAATTACACACAAAAAACTCAATTCGGTAAAAGTACAATCGGACTTCCCAACTTACTATACTTCCAACAGCACGGTGAAGTCTTAATATTTGCTCTGAAGTTTGTTCTTCCCATTTTATACAGCTGGTACCAGTAGAAATCTTAGGCGCTACAAGACAAAGCCAAGAGCAAGAGCAAATATCAGGTTCAGTGGCCATGAACTGAAATTTACTGAACTGAATAATAAGCACAAGAGATTATTATAACATTCTCTCACTTTTATATATGTTTAACATTTTCCACAAAATAAAGTAAAAAAAATATCAATCAAACAAGTACTAAAAGAAAACATGAATGAACCATCGTATAACCTGCGAGCAGAAAATGCCCTATTAACTGTGACTTGAGGTCTAGATCAGGCTACATACAAGTAAGATAAATTTTAAAAACAAATGACAAGCTGCAAGAATCTGCAGTGTACATCATAGATGGTTAACTTCTGGACCACATAAAGAACTCACAGAGGCCGGGAAGGGACAAAATCCCAATAGAAAAATGGCCAAAGGTATGATTGCTCCCAGAAAAAAGAAAGGCAAAAAGTACCAAAACATCTGAAAAGATCCTCAATTTCACTCAAGGGAATAATGCACATTAAAACTACCCTGAGACAAAATTTCCTATCTATTAGATTCAAAGTATCATGTGCATAAAGTTATTTTTAATAGTAGTATTTGAAATACAAAAAGATTAGAAACAACCTAAATGCCCAGCCTTAGAAAGCACAACTGAGAACTAAGCTGCCCTAAAAAAGAAAAAGGAAAATTTCTTCTTACTGACATGAAGCGGCTTCCAAGGTACACCGTTAAGTAAAAACGATGGGGGCACAATCACATATATTTTATGCTACCTTTCTGTTAAAAAAAAAAAAGGAGAAAATGTAGCACTTCTCTGAGTGTGCCTTTATAAATGGCTTAATTTTTGAGCTACAGAAATGTTTTACATAGTTCAAAAAATAAAAGTGAATCACAAAACGAAATAAACCAACTCTTAAAATTAGAAACAAATCGAAATAAATGGACCTAACGAGACCTCAAACTAGGTGACAAAACTACATGGAAAAAATGATTCACTCCAGCAGATTTTCACCACACAAATCTGATTGTATACCCTTAGTGGGGTGCATTTTAAAGAAAAAGAAAAAAAAAAACTACAAAGAAATCTTAAATCTTCCCCTTGATTTTAACTCTTGGTAGTAATATGGAATTGTAACATTGAAACTATTATATGCGTAGCAAATAAATAAATAGAGATATTTGTACAGTGGCAAAGTATTACCCAGCCAGTGACCTGCGAACTGTAAAAGGAAACACCTTCACACTGTAAGACCTGGTGGTCACATAGCTCTGGTGTCACCTGATACAGCTTATTGAGGTGACACTCTAAGACTGGGGGACAAAAGCAAGACTACTCTTGATTTTATCCTTTTTTTTTGGTACTGGGGATTGAACTGCCTTGCGCTTGCAAGGCAGACGGCGGAACCACTGAGCTAAATCTCCGGCCCTTTATCTCTGTTTAATATTTTTCAAAATAAGATACTGAAAAAAAAATGTTGACTCCTTCCTGAGGCTGCCCAGGACAGGGGAGGGAACTTCCTAACTATTCTTGGGAAAGGTGGTGGAAATGAGCACTTGACCCAGTCCAAACTAAGGCAGAAGCACAGGGAGGAGGTCCAGGCATTCAGAGGCCGTCACAGCGAACAGGACCTCCCCGTGCGAGCTGTCACAGCCTTCACTCACCGTATGTCACCCCCTCCGCTGGCTGTTGCCTTCCACTCTTCAGACTTTCGGGCAAATTTTTCAAAACTGAAATAAGCTACAAAAAGAGAGAGAGAGAGCGAGAGGGAGCACATGATGTATTTAGATGAACAGAACAAAGCAGAGACACATGGGCAATTCCAAAGTGACTGCTACCTCTTGTCCTCCTTCTGCAGAGGTCAGAGCACAGCAACTCATTTGCTTCTGGACGGAGCTGGGTGTTACCTGGCCATACAAGCTGTCAGCACCAGGACAGCCTGTGCTCAGCTATCCACACTGCCACCCCCCGGGGAAGCCACTGGGGCCTCACAGAAGGACAGCATACTCTGGACTCACATGGCTCTGGGTTTGGATCCCAGTTCTACCACCTACGAGCTGTCTCAATGTGGAAATTATTTAACTTGTCTGTGGCCCTCAATGTCACGATCTGTGAAACAGTTAATGGCAACAACTTCCTCAAATGTTTGGTGGGAAAGTGAGATGAAACAGTCCTGGCACATGAGCCAAGGTTCAATGAATGCCAGCCCCTATGTTGAGATCATTTCCAAGAGAGGACCCTGAACAAAAAGTACTGTTTATGTCTGGGCAAAAGAAATTTTCCACTGTATAAAATTAACTAGCTCATATCAAAACTACAAATTTATTCCTTAAGCATTTACCAGACCTTCCTGTTTGCAGATTCAAGGAGCTACACAAAGAGTCTAGAGAGTTCCAGGGCACACAGATGCAATGGCTGGCACCCAGCACGAGCTGAGTCACTTTGGAAAGGGCCTGAGTTCAGTGTGATGGGAGGCCAGGTGTGTAGGAGAGCGAGGACAGAGGCCCAGGGAGCAGGGTGCAAAGGCTCCACTGTGAAATGAGGGACCTGCAATGATTACCTGCTCCACTCTGCAAATCCTCAAATGATTCCATGAGATCACAAGTACTGGGCTAATTTTTAGGAAGACAAGGATAGAAACCACTTTTTCTTTTTTAAGAAGTTGAAAGATTACGGGTCATAAATGTATCCTTTTCATCAGAACCACTTAGGAAAACTACTAAATGAATGGAAAGCACCAGAATATCAGAGCACCGTACCATGCTGGCACCCAGTCTTGACAACATTGCTTCCAATTCCTTGGCGGTGCTCTTGGGTGGCACAGGGATGGTTTCCTGCTTGAGAATTGGGCCTACATCAAACCTAGCAAAAAATCAAAAGCAGATGAATAACATGATTACTATTTCTTAAGATCAGTATGTTTGTCTACACAGCACTGGGACAGTTTATTATAGGCTACTAATCGGCCGTTAGCTGGTATGGTAGCAGAGCCAAATATGGCCTGGACTTAGACTTTACACTTTAGGGTTTTTTTGGTTTTTTTGGTACCAGGGATTGAACTCAGGTCCTTGCGCTTGCAAAGCAGGCGGCAAAACCACTGAGCTAAATCCTCGGCCCTACTTTAGGTTTTAAAGGAAAAAAAAAAAAGTACACGGATATATGAGGAATTTAATTGCAATTACAAATAATTCTACCAAGTAGTAATAAATAGTATGAAAAATCTCTATCAATATACAGAAAGCATAGGTAATGGATTTATTTTCTAATTAAGAAATAAATAATTATTTCTCTCCTTCCTCAAGGGACAAGAGTTTTGCTTGGATTATAAGTAGATGCAAGTGTATCTGCATTCCCACCAGTCTTACATCAAGCTTTGTAAACACTTGCCATAAGCTTTCATTAGAAATATGACTTGTTTAAAATTTTCAACTTTGTGATTCTTTTAATTTGTATTTTAAGCCAATGAATTTGTTAATTTTTGAGACAGAGAATAAGTTGCCCAGGCTGGTCTTGAACTGATGGTGTCAAGCAATCCTCCTGCCTCTGGAGTAGTTGGGACTATAGGCATACAACCGCACACCTAGCGAAAATGAGTCAGTTTTGACAGATTTTTGAAGCACCAAAATTTTGCTAATCTTGTTTCATCTACTCCCTCCTTTTTTTTCATTTTTCAGTGTTCAGGATTGAATCCAGGAGCTCGTGCATGCCAGGCAAATACTATGCACTGATGGGCTGGGGATTTAGCTCAGTGGTTTCGCCGCCTGCTGTGCAAGCACAAGGACCCGAGTTCAATCCCCGGTACCAAAAAAAAAAAAAATTACTATGCACTATGTGCTGAGCTACACCTCTAGGCCCTTTATACTTTTATTTTGAGGCAGGATCTCACTAAATTGTCCAGTCTGGGCTCCAACTTGTGATCATCCTGCTCAGCCTTTTTTTTTTTTTTTTTTTGTACTGGGGATCGAACTCAGAACCTTGTGCTTTTGAAGCAGGCAGCAGCACCACTGAGCTAAATGCCCAGCCCTGCCTCAGCTTCCTAAATAACTGGGATTATAGGTGTGTGCCACTGTGCTTGAGCTGCCTCTCCTTTATTGAAGTAAATTCCAGATAGCATGTTGTTCTTGTGAACTCATAAATTATTCTTTTTTATGGGGAAATTAAGAGGCAGAAGATTAATATTAACTCTGTAATGGCTTGTATCTAGATGTTCCCCCCAAAGCCTCCTGTGATCATAGGTGTGAGTTTTGGGAGGTGGCTGGATGTAGGGCATGTGATGCTGGGATTAAGGGTGTCCCGGCCTGGGTGGGAGGTGGCACCACCCAAAGGGGAGGTAGCCTGGATGGAATATAAAGGGACAGAAAGAAGCTGCTTGGCTGCATCACTGCTTTGTCGCCTTTGGCCTGCTCTGCCATGGGCTGTTTCTCCTTTGAGATGCCCCTCTGCCATGCCACCGTGACTTGGAGCCAGTCAACTATGAACTGAAACTCCTCCAACCTGTGAGCCACATAAACCTCTGCTCCTTTAACTCTGGGTGTTGGGTATTTTGTTTCAGCAATGAGAAAAATAACTAAGATAAACTCCTCAAATAATTTTAAATAACTGTTGCTAACATGTAGACAGAAAAAATAGCAATGTTTAGGACAATTAGTATATTCTTACTTCAGGCTCCAAAAATTTTTTAAACCATAGTTTGGAAACCAAGGTTAGAAGAACTGAAATTCAAAATAATGAACATATAAAAACCCATCTGTCATTTATACAATGTCTTAAATAGAAATCCAATTGTTAATAATGTAATTTATTTCAACTGACAAATTAGGAAGTTCATAAGAACTTTAAAGAGACACCTCATATATACCAAGAGACATATGGCTTAGGTTAGAGACCAAGAACAAAGTTATGCCAAAGCAAAGGAAGCTGGCATGGTGGCACAAGTCTATAATCCTAGCACTCTAGAGGGCTGAGGCAGGAGACTGCAAGTTTGAGTCCAGTCTAGGCAATTTAGCAAGACCTTGTCTCAAAAAAAAAAAATTTACAAAGTGGTGTGGATATAGCTTAGCCTAAGGACCCTGATTCAATCCCCAGTACCATGAAATAAACAAATAAATGCAAAGGAACCGCTCTGGACTGACAGAAATTAGTGAACACTGAACCTTTACTCATTTCCCCACAACATCCCAGACAGACTGGTATCAACCTTTAAAAATCACAAAAAATCTCAAGAAAAGAAAATATGCTCTACCTCTTAGGTCTGATTTGCATAATCGTCACTCCGGTGACGGGATCTCCGTGGAGCACAGTGTGGATGATGGGAGCTGGGCCCCGCCACCTCGGGAGGCAACTTGGATGTACGTTCAATATGCCACTGGGCGAGAAGATGCCAAAATCAGTGCATCGCTATGGGCTTTCCCCCTTAAGTCACTGGTACCTAAACCAACGCACTACTCCAGCATTACATTTTCCCAGAAATTTTACAAATCTGATAGCACAATCTAGTTTTATAGTACCTGAAAGGAAAAGTCAGAGGTAAATGTATTCTTAACATAAGAAACTCATGATACTTAATTAAAAATAGAGCAAGGAGGGCTGGGATTTAGCTCAGTGGTTCTGCCGCCTTGAAACCATGAGGTCCCCGGTACCAAAAAAAAAAAAAAAAAAAAAGAGCAAGGACAACTATTCATGATTCCAAAGATGCTGTGTAATAACTCATGCCTGGAGTTTTAAAATGAAATTTTAAAATACATTTATTACTATTTGAAAACTACTCAAATCTTTGTATGCATGTCACAGACAAAGCAAATTATATTTATACAGGAGTTTTGTCACATAATCCCCTCACTTCAGTTCCTGCTCCTGGGAAGCTTATATGCAAAGGGCAGGGGATGAGCAATGAAAAACAAACTACTGGATGTAAAAAGTTTGTCAGACGGCACCAAGGCCTGTGGAGAAAAATAAAGCAGAGAATGGAACAGGAGTAACAGGTGGAAGATTACAATTTCAGTCAGTCTAAGAAGCTTTTACCAACAAGAAGAAACTGAGCAAAGACCTGAAGGAGTAAGAAAATAAGCAACACACAGTTGTGAGTCGCTTTACAAAGGGGACATGCGTGGCAAGGTGATTTTGCTATGCAATGATCAGCGCGTGCACTTACACAAACTAAGGTGGCCACTTCATCCCACATAATCTTATGGCACCACCGTCAGATATGCAGACTGTTGTTAACTAAAATGTCATTACGTGGCACACAATGGCTATGAAAAAGTTCTCTAGGCAGCAGGAAAATCAATACACAGCTCTTCAGGAAGGTATTGCTCAGCAAATTCAAGACACAAGGAGACAAGTGTGTCTGGCATGAACCAGGGGAGTTGCCATTTATTGAGACAAAGGATTTGGGCACCTTGAACGTAAGGTTCCTATTGGACATCAAAGCTGGGCTATGGAGGGGCTGGGCACTAGGGACTTGAAGTGAGGCCAGGGCTGAGCTGGAGGGACAACCTGGGAGCTGTCAGCACACAGATACGGAATTTAAACAAGGGTGAGTAAAAGCCCACTGAGCATGATATTTATTTATTTATTTATTCATATATTTTTTTTTGAGGCAGGGTCTCACTATGTAGTTCAGGCTGGCCTTGTACTCATTATGTAGCCTAGGCTGGCCTCAAACTCATGGCAATCCTCCTATTACAGGCATGCACCATGACATCTGGCAATTTTGTTTTTTTTCTGGTACCAGGGATCAAACTCAGGACCTTGCACTTATGAGGCAGGTACAGCACACCCAAGCTAAATCCCTGGCCCTCGATCTTAAAAGATTAAAGAAGGCCTACTTGAGTTCAAATTAGGGCATTTTAGATGCTGGGTCTATTCATAAAGACCAAGGTGTCTCTACTGTATTTCCTTGCAAATAAAACTTACTAGGGGAATTTAAGAATAAGAGCCTCACTCAAAAGCCGGCCAAACGAAGCCACCACGCCTACGTCGTATTCTCCAGAGCCCACTACGGGCCACTCGTACACTGGAAGCTGAGACTGCACAGCATACTGCTTCACTGGCACTCCTTTTGGTGATGGCGAGGGTACTGTGACCACCTCCAGCTTTTCAATTAACCTTTCCTCTTCGTTTTCCCTAAGTTAGAAAGATCGGAAGAAAATGTATCAGTGTTAGGACATTTTTGGGGGGGGGGGGTACCGGGAACCGAACTCAGGACCTTCTACTTGCAAGGCAGGCTCAGTGCCACTGAGCTAAATCCCAGCCCTGTATTAGAACATTTTTACAGCTTAAACTCATGGAGCATTTAGGGCTAAATGATTAAAACCAGTGCAACTGAGAGGCTGAATTTTTATATTTTTAATTTTCTCCCCCTCCCACCCCACCACCATTCCCCAGTAGCATTGGGGCTTGAACCTAGGGCCTCTTGAACGCTAGGAAAGCACTCTACCAGTAAACAATACCCTCAGCATCTTTTTACTGTGTGATTGAGTCTCACTAAATTATTCATTAACTAACCCTCCTGCCTCAGCCTCCTAAATCACTAGGATTTTATCTGTGTCCCACCTTACCTGGGACTAAAGAACTACATATGACAAGTGGCTACCATTTGGACAGTACTGTTTCAGAGATTTCCTGTGCATACAGAAACTGGCGAAGCCCAACCAACCTCCAACGCTGCTTGACAAAGTTCCAGCTAGGGGAAAGAAAGGGTGGAACACATCATACCCTCATGTTTTATTTTTTCTTGCCATAATGTTTACAATTGTTACTCTGATCACAAGAGTTATTGTGTTTGTGACTAACAACAAACTCTCCATGAGGCAAATTGGTAATAATATATTAAAATCTGATCTGGCTCACAAGTCCCAAATTCCAGTTTCTCTTAGTTCTATTGCCACATCCACTCCTAAAGAAACCTCTCCTAAAACCCCCTCTGTTTTCCCACTACTATAATTCCCCCTCTTATTGCGGACATTCTTTTTACTAAAGGGGTCTTATGAAGAGATTGAAAGGACAGACTTTAGATGTAAGAAATAGTGGAAAATGGGAAAAAGAAAGAAAGTTAAGACAGGTAAATGCATTAAGGAGGCAAGTTACTCAATATTTCTCAAAGTGCAGTAAATATCTCCTGCTCATGGACTATGAACCTAAATGACACTTAGGTAAGATAAATAAAGGTACAGAAAAATAGAGAGCTAATAGCAAACTATATTAACCATTGTGCAGTTTCTCAAGGGCTAGCTGATGACCACAAGTTTGACATTTAATTAATTAAATCTTGCTTGTACCCCCGCTGATATAGAGATTTTGATTAAGTTACCTTCTGGAGATTTTGATTAAGTTACCTTCTGTTCTGCTTAGGTGTGGGTAAATAAGGGGACAATTGTAATTTTTAAAAATGTATTCATGATGTTCAATGAAATGAATCAGCTTAGAAAAAATATACTCTGTTTAGCAAAAAATAACCTTTACCTTACTAGATATTGCTAAGGCAACCTAAAATGTAAACATATTCTGCCCAATGCCTCTTAGCTATTGCTTAAAGATATAAAAATAAATCAGACCCTGAGACTTCTCAGAGGGAACCTGAATATTGCTTGTGAAGGTTCTTTTCTCATCGCCGGCCCAGGACATCTCCCCTTCCTACCCTACATCGACTGCAGCTGGTCTGCGGCAAGAAACATACACAGCAGTTATTTTACACAACTGGGATATTATACATAAGCTTCTGCATGTTTTGGTTCTTTCCTCTTTTTTTGTGTTTTTTTAGTTTTATTTTTTGTTTGTTGGTTTTTTTGGTACCGGGGATCAAACTCAGGACCTTGCGCTTGAGAGGCAGGTGAGGTGCCACTGAGCTAAATCTCCAGCTGGTTCTTTCCTCTTAACAATAGTATATATGCTACAATAGGAATCTGTTAAAAATGAATTAAATATCCATATGCTTGTATATGCCCTGAACATTTCTAGAAGAATAAGAAACTGAAATCAATGACTGGCTCTGGAGAGAACTGGGATATGGAAGCCAGAGGTGGAAAAAAACAACTTTTCATGTACATCTTTTGTTTTGTTTTTGTTTTTGGTACCGGGGATCAAACTTGGGACCTTATGCTTGCAAGGGAGGCACTGGAACCACTGAGCTAAATCCCCAGCCCTTCACAGTGTATCTTTTGAATCAATGAAATTTTGTAATACACCCTTATGTCATTCAAGTAACACTGACTTGTTTTATTTTCTGCAGTAATGGGGATTTGGGCCCAGGGCCTTCAGCATGCTCTCTAGCTACACCACTAGCCCCTAAAGACTTTTTTAAAAAACAAAGGTATATACCATAGGCATCATTCTATATGGTAGTACTTTTAGCATGCCTCATTCTTTTCACTTGCTGCACAGTGCGCCAGGGCACAGGGGCTGTACATTCATTCATTCATTGTGCTGGAGATCAAACCCAGGGCAGTCTCACGCTCTGCCCCTGAGCAACAGCTTCACGAGCAGGGGTTGTATGCTTATTTAGTAAACAGTATCGCAGGCAGATGCTGAAGACTTAGGAGAAAAGAATTATGCACCAGGGCACTAAAAGAAAGTTACAGTGCTGTCAAGTGAATCATCAGAAATAAGAAATGCATGTGGCAGTAAGGGAAACAGCAACGTGCAGAGGGAATGCACAGAACACTTGGTGTGAAAGGTGTTTCAAGGGCTGTGGACACAGGAGTGTGGGGAGGGAGGAATACAATAAACAAAAGGACTGATGAGGGGTTCCATATACAAGGGAGGTCATGATGGTGGTGACAGAAATGAATTGGGGCACAAGAGTCAGAAAAAAAACGGAATGGGGAAAAACAATGGGGGGGAGGTGAGGCAGAGATCACATACCGCGGAGTTCCAGTAAACACGATTTTGTTAAGTTTTAAAATATTAAATATGGCCCTTCGAGTTGATTTATAAATTTATTCATTTATAAATAGTTCGTTTGGAGATTGTGTCCCGATTTTCAGCTCAGAAACCCGGATCCTGCCTTGCACCAGAACCGGGGAGCGGAGGGGGCGGGAAGCCCACGCCAAAGGCCTGGGGCCCACAAACCAGATGGCTGGGGAGGCAGGAGGAGCTGAAAAGTGGGGAACTTTGAAGTCGCAGCTGGTTTCAGGCCTAATTGCTTTAGCTGAGAAGCTTGGGCAGAGGCCTGACGTCTGAGCCCCGGTTTCCGCGCCTGCAAGCCGGGGTGGGGTAGGGTGTAGACCTGGCGCCCCAAGGCCGATCGGAAGGTGCGCGCGGGGACGCCGAGCCCGGCCCAAGCCGCCGTGTCCGCGGCGAGGAGCTAACGCCCTGGGCCGCCCAGGTCGCTCGCACCTGCAGCCCGGGCCCCTGCCCCGCCCGGGTACCTAGCGGCGTGGAGCGCACTCAGCGCCTCCCGGGCGAACTGGTCCGTGCCGAAGAAGAGCACCCGCCAGGGTGGTTTGTCACGGCCTCGGGCGTCCTTGCCGTCCTCCCAGGCAGGACAGCCGCCGAGCCCGGTCACCACACTCCACTGGGAGTTCGGCCTCCGGATCGCGGCGCCGCGGCCCAGGCTGAGTCTCCACCAGCCGAGCACAGGAACCTTCATCTCGTTGGCGTGTGGCGGCCCTCGCTGCGCAGGCGCGTTGGGGGTGGTGCCTAGGGGGCGGGGCCCGCAAGTTCCGGGGACCTGTCCAGAGACCGCGGGGGCGGGACCTGCCCGATTGGAGGCGTGGCCACTCTGGAGTGGCACTGAGAAAGGACTTCACCATTCCAGCGATGCGTATTTGCGCTGTGTAGCCGAAACACCAAAAGAACCTCTTGGGAACAGATCTTTGCAGTATCATCTTCTCAGCCATTATGATGACTGATATTTACCGAGTCCTAACTGTGTGCCACGACTTGGCTATGTAGTTTCTATCCATTGTTTGTGGTAACCTCACATTGACCATCTGAGGTGGGGATCACAACCACTTTACCGAAGAGAACCTGAGCTCTGAAGCTAAGGACTGCCAGTTTCTGAAGGCCACACCGTTAGGAAATAGCAGAGCAGGGCTAGGGCTCTTGTTCCTGCAGCCGCAGAGCCTGTGATCTAACCATCTGGCCTCACTGCAAACCTGTGTTAGGCAAATCAGGGTCGCCATGTTGCACCTGAAGGAACTGAGGCTCCTTCACTTTCGTTAGTCTCCTTTATGACAGGGGTCCCATGACGGAGATTCCCAGGGAAAGTGGGCAGGGGAAGTTGTTCCCAGAAAGCCTCTTAGAACCGATAGTACTTAGATTCTGTGGCCTCCGTGTGTATCGACCCATGTCCACCAAGTCAGCTGTGGCTGTAGAGTGATTCCATTCTAGTCTTATTTTCATTGACGTCTCTGTCACAGTCTGCAACCCAGAGACCAGGACCAGCACCATTATTTCTGTGGCTCTGTACATGCTGACCCCCTCCCTAGACTGCCCTCACACCTTCTTCCTCTCCAAATGGTGTCCATTGTCAATGCCAAGCTCAGACATTCTCTCCAAAGCCTGAGCTCTTGCTTCTGTGGATTTGATGTCTTCCATGTTTCTCCCTCAATACTGTGTAGGGACCTCTATTTCTCGTGTTTGGTATTGATGAGAAAAATTGTCTAATGTGTGCATAAATATTGGCAAATTTGCCTGTGTGTTGAACAGAAAAGAAGCAAGAAGGAAGGGGTTTCAGGGGTTCCACTTATCTGATGGCAATGAAAGTGAGAGGGGACCCTGAGCCTTCTGCTCCTGTGACCAAGTTCTGTTCCAGGATCCTGTCTTAGAGCAAGCAAAATATGCAACGAACAGTCTTTCCCCATACAACATGGCCTAGAAATTCGACCCAAATTCATCTGGGTTTTCATCTTAGAAGAACCCTGTTGCCTAAAGTGCAACCCTTTATATTTACATTTCTGTCATTTCTCCTCCAGTGGATTTTAAACCAGGAGGGCGTGGTTTATGGCACCGTTTGTAGCAGCCCATGTTCTTCCAGGGAGCCCTGCCCCCTAGAGCTGCCTTGAACCACTCACAGCATCTGCTGCCCCCCACACAGCCACTGTTCAGTCGGAGGATCTGATACCAACCGATTTTCTTCCCTCCACAGAGCTCTCTCCTACCACTGACATCTAACTTTCTAGCTTTTCATTGGTATCAAATTTATTTTAAGAAGAAAGAAAGGTCAAGGTGGTGGCAGTGGCACAAGCCTGTAAAGCCAGCTAGTTGAGAGGCTGAGGCAGGAGGATCACAAGTTCAAGATCAGCCTAAGCAATTTGGCAAGACTCTATCTCAAAAATAAAAAGCCCTGGGAATGTTGCTCAGTGTTATAAGTGGTGGCAAGCATTACACCCTGGTTCAATTTCCAGTATCACAAAAAGAAAAAGGCCAAAAATAGTATTGTAATAGCTGAGGTTCTTATAAATTCATCACAGGAACAACCATAAGCACATAGAGATGAGCTCTCCTGCCCTGAATGGTGAGGAGCTTTCTGTATTGAATGGAGATGTGCAGAAAGCACATCCAAGCAGACTGGGTGACATTAATTGGGTTGATGGTCCAGTTTCCAGAGCTTTCTCTTCTCTGATGAATAGTGTGTGTGTGCTGAATCAGGGAAATGACCTCAGGACCAAGTCTGGGTGACAAGACAAGAGCAGTGCCACTCACTGAGACAGGCCCTGCTTGGCTTTGCTTGCTTTGGGACTGGAGTGGTGGGAGGAATGAAGGGAGGTGGCTTAGGAGAAAACGGGGATGTGGGAGTGTCCTTCAAACCTGTAGTGGGAAGGACAGGAAGTACCTTCTGTGCCTCTTCGCTTCCCGATTCCTGCAGAGTGAGCAGCCCTGCGCAGATTCAGATGTGCCTGGGAGCCCTCTGGTGTGGACAGTCCCCTGGGAGAAATGGAACAGGGGCAGGAGGTGGTCAGAGCCCTGGTTGTTAGGGTGGCCCAGGCTCGAGTCCACCGGACTCCTGCTGTGGCCCCCCGGCAATGCCGCTTGACATGTGATATGGGAAATGTCTGCGGCACACAGGCCTGAAACTGAGCTGGGCGCACAGCCCTGGTAGCCATTCCTCAATCCTCTGCTCCTCGTGCGGTACTGCAGTTCCCTGCCTGTGGTGGCACCAGATGTCCGCGAGAGGGCTCGCCGCACTAGCCCTTCCGGTCTTTGGAGGTGGTGACAATTTCGTCTTCTGAGCCTCTAACTCTGTGTTGTTACCGCCCTGTGTGGGTTTAGCAGATGTCACTACTAATCTGCCGAGTCACTTTGTAAATCAGGACTGCAAGACCACATACACACACACACGCACACGCACACACACACACACACACACACACACACGATGCATAGACTACCACTAGAAGCACACCCCAGGGGAGAACCTGAAGAGGCAGTGAGCTTGAAGAGAGAAACTAGAGAAGCCATCTGACTTCTAAGGGACTCCAGGAGTCCCAAAAGAGAAGCCAGGTGTGATATCACAGCTGAAAGAAGCAGTCTAAGTATATGAAGGTTTCTCTTTGTGGTTAGACTGAAAGGAGTCAAATCTTAAAGAGTTGGGTTGTTCTCCAGGGCCTATTGCCAGGGAGAAATGCTTTAAGATGTTAACAAAGCTGTACATTGCTAACAAAGGGGGAAAGTACCTTTGTCTACTTCCACAAAGAAATGTAAAAGATTTCACATTTAGCCAGGCACTGTGGTACACGTCTGTAATCCCAGCACACTGGGAGGCTAAGGCAGGAAGATCACAAGTTTGAGCCCTTGATCCCAGCCTAGGCAACTTGGCAAGGTCCTATCTAAAAAAAAAAAAAATTTAAAAAGAGCTGAGGACGTAGCTCAGTGTGAAGCCCCTGATTGACTGGTTTACAGACTGATAAGCACATATGTAAATTAGCTAAGAGTCTCAAAAACTCTTGGAAAAATAAAATGAGAAAAAATTTAAAACATGCTCAGAGAGAACAATGAAATATTAGTTCATATATTGTGTCTGAGAAAGAGAAAGATATCCAAACCAACCCTAAGTAATCTTTCCGTGTAAGATTTTTATACCAAGATATTAAAAGTTGTATTCATACTTGATAAACAAATGTAAGAGAACTGAATAAAATTACAAGTTTGCTTCATAATTTTGATCATGGACAAATACTTGGACAAGTTAAATGCGGGGGTTCAATATGATTTAAAAGAAAACTATTAATGTATCTTCAAAGGGGCTCATTTCCAGAAAAAAGAACTGTAAGAAATCAATTCAAAAGAGGGCAGATAATTCAATGGGTAAATGAGTTAGACATTCTTCAAAAGAAGATATCCAAAGGCCAGTAAGCATTTAGTTACCAGGGAAAGGCAAATTAAAACCACAGGAGATAAAACCCATCCAAGTGACGAAAACCAAGAAGGCAATGGCACCAACACTGACATTGATGTGGAGCAACTGGGAATCTCAAACTCTCCAGGAGGGAGAGCCACTCTGGAAAGACTCTGGGCAAGAGCATATGTCCCGCACAGGTAGTAACATAGTTATGTTCATATGGAAGGGCTGTCAATAAATTTACTTCTAAAATTTTCCTCAGAATTTTAGCAATTTCATTCATTGGAAGTGTCTGTGGTATCCTGTTTTGATTTACATTTAGATGTTCCCCAAAAGCCTCATGTAATCATAAGCAGGACCTTGGGAAGGTGATTGGACTATAGGTGCGTAATAGCTGATTGCTGTTAGGAGGTGGGACCTGATCAGAAGAGGCCCGAAAGGGTATAGCTCCCTTCCCAGCTCTTTCCTTCACTCTCTCTGCTCCCGGTTCGCCAAAATGTGAGCAGCTTCTCCTTCGCCATGGCCTTCTGCTGTGCTGCCCTGCCTGGGAGGTAGCGGACCTCTCAGATAGTAAGCCAAAATAAACCTCTCCTTCTTTAATTTGCAGGTGAGGGGTATTGTATCTCAGCGATGAGAAAGTGACTAAGACATATCCACTTCACATTTTACAGGACAGACCATAGTACATTGGAGATTTGTCAAAACCTTTACTGTCTGTAACACATCTTTCCCTTGGAGGTATTAATCATCTCAGTCTTCATGTGAGAGTTGTGGGAAAGCTAATCTCCCATGGGATTCTACTCCTGTTCTGACAGAGGTGACTCTGTAATCAATTGAAGCATGTCATTAACATGTGGTTTCCTCTCTCCTCACAATTGCCTGAAAGTACTTGTATGTAAATCAGAGGTTGTGGCTTCTGGAAGAAATATCAAAGGAAAACTTTACAAACCTGGTAGTAAGGAATGTATCAAGTAGTCTTTTATTAAGGTATAATTCAGATATAACACTGTTCATTCATTTATCAGCCAATGGCATTTAGTGTATTCAGAGTTACGCATCAATTACCACAATAAATTTTAGAACATTTTCATTACCCAAGAAAGAAATCACATTCTTCTGAGCCGTTACCTGCCCCCCCTCCACGCATTCCTCCTAGTCCTAAGCAATGGCTAATCTACTTTCTGTCTCTCATATAATTTGAGGGGGTCTGATTATTTTGAGCTCTTTATATATTCTAGATAGCAGTCCTTTATCAGAGGGATAGCTGGCCAAAAATTTTTTCCCACTCTGTGAGTTGTCTCTTCACTCTGTTGGTGGTTTCTCTTGCTATGCAAAAGCTTCTGAATAAGA